AGATTTTATTTATTTATTTATTTATTATTTATTTATTTATTTATTTATGATAGAGAGAGACAGAGGCAGAGACACAGGAGGAGGGAGAAGCAGGCTCCATGCCGGGAGCCCGATGTGGGACTCGATCCCTGGACTCCAAGATTGCACCCCGGGCCAAAGGCAGGCACTAAACCACTGAGCCACCCAGGGATCCCCTCAGTAGTGTCTTTATGTGGTTTTGGAATAAGGGTAATGCTGGCCTCATAGAATGAATGTAGAAGCTTTTCTTCCTCTTCTATTTTTTGGAATAGCTTGAGAAGAATAGGTATTAACTCTGAATGTTTGATAGAATTCACTTGTGGAAGCTATCTGGTCCTGGGCTTCTCTTTGTTGAGAGTTTGTTTTTTTAGTTTTTTTTTTTTTTTTTTTTTTTTTTTTTTAATCACTGATCCAATTTCATTGCTGGTAATCAGTCTGCTCAAATTTTATATTTTTTCCTGATTCAGTTTTGGTAGGTTATATGTTTCTAGGAAGTTATCTTTTTTTTTTAAGTTTGTCCAATATGTTGATGTATAAGTTTTCATAATATTTTCTTATAATCCTTTGAATTTCTGTGGTGTCATTTTTCCTTTTTTATTTCTGATTTTATTTGAGTCTTCTCTTTTTTATGAGTCTAGCTAAAAGTTCTTATCAATTACATTAGTGCTTTTAAAGAAGCAGCTCCTGGTTTCAATGATCTGTTCTATTTTTAATTTCTACATTGTTTATTTCTGCTCTGATCTTTATTATCTTCTTCCTTCTACTGGTTAGGAGTTTTCTTTGTTCTTTTTCTAGCTCCCTTAAGTGTAATGTTAGATTGCTTGAGATTTTTCTTGCTTATTAAGGTAGGCCTGTGTTGCTATAAACTTCCCTCTTAGAACAGCTTTTGCTGCATCCCAAAGATTTTGGACCATTGTGTTTTCATTTTCATTTCTCTCCCTGTATCTTTTCATTTCCTCTTTGATTTCTTAGTGGTTGAACCATTCATTGTTTAGCAACATGTTGTTTATCCTCATATATTTGTGTTCTTTCCAGATTGTTTTCTTGTGGTTGATTTCTAGTTTCATGGTGTCATGATCAGAAAAGATGCATGGTATGCCTTCAATATTTTTGAATTGAGACTTGTTTTGTGGCCTAATATGTGACCTATTCTAGAGAATGTTCCATGTGCACTTGAAAAGAATTGTATTTCGTGTTTTAGGATAGAATGTTCTGAATGTATCTGTAAGGTCCATCTGGTCCAATGTATCATTCAAAGCCACAGTGTCCTTGTTGATTTTCTATTTAGCTGATTTGTCCTTTGATGTAAGTGGGGTGTTACAGTCCTCTACTCTTGTATTACTATCAGTTACGTTCTTTAGGTTTGTTATTAGCTGTTTCATGTATTTGGGGTGCTCCCATGTTGGATGCATGAATAGTTACAATCGTTATATCTTTTGGTTGGGTCATTCCCTTTATGGTTATATAATGTCCTTCCTTATGTCTTGTTACAGTCTTTGTTTTAAAGTCTATTTTGTCTGATAAAAGCATTGCTTACCTGGCTTTCTTTTCACTTCTATTTGCATGATGAATGCTTTTCCATTCCTTTACCATCAATCTGCAGGCATCTTTAGGTTTAAGTCTTTTGTTGGCAGCATATAGATGAGTCTTATTTTTTTTTATCCATTCTATTACTCTGTGTCTTTTGATTGGAATAGTCCATTTACATTCAAAGCAATTTTTATAGGTATGTATTTATTACCATTTTATTACTTGTTTTATGGTTGGTTTTGGAGGTTTCGCCTGTTCTTCTCTTGCTCTCTCCTGTCACAGTTTGCTGGCTTTTATTTAGTGATATAGATTCCTTTCTCTTTGTTCTTCGCATATCTATTACTAGTTTTTTATTTATGGTTACCATTAGGTTTATATATAACATCTCCTGCACATGGCAGTCTATTCTAAGTTGATAATTGCTTAAGTTTGAACTCATTCTTTACTCCTCTCATCCCCACATTTTAGGTATATGGGTCATATCTTACAGCCTCTTATTTTGTGAATCCCTTGACAGATTTTTATAGATATTTTTACTGCTTTTGTGCTTCCTACTTTTCCTACTTCTATTTATGGTCTTTGCTTTCCACTCAAAGAGTCCCCTTTAATAAGATTGGTTTAGTGGTCTTGAATTCCTTTAACTTTCATTTATCTGGGAAATTCTTTATCTCTCCTTCTATGCTAAATGATAGTCTTGCTGGATAGAATATTCTTGGTGGCAGGGTTTTGTTTTTGTTTTTCTTTCAGCACTTTGAATATATCATCTCATTTCTTTCTGGCCTACAAAATTTCTGCTGAAAAGATCAGTTGATAGCCTTATGGAGTTTCCCTTGTATGTAACTGTTTTCTTTTCTCTTGCTGCTTTTAAAATTCTCTCATCACTACTTTTTGCCATTTTAATTGCTATGTGTCTTGGTGTGGACCTCCTTGGGGTGACTTTGTTGGAAACTTGCTGTACCTTCTGGATCTGAATGTGTTTCCTCCCTGTTTCTACAAGTTTTCAGCTATTATTTCTTCAAATAAATTTTCTCCCCTCTTTTCTTTCTATTCTTCTGGGATCACTACAAAGTGAATGTTACCTGATGGTGTCAGTAAATTCCCTAAGTCTCTTTTCATTTTTCCCCCTCCTCTTTAGCTTATTTCACATTACTTTGTCCTCCAGATCTCTGATCAGTTACTCTGCTTCCTCTTGTCTATCCTTTATTCCATCTGGTGTATTTTTTTAAAATATTTTATTTATTTGAGAAAGAGAGAGAACATGCACATGAGCCAGGGGAGGGGCAGAGAATCTTAGGTAGATAGACTCCACGCTGAGCATAGAACTTGATGAGGCTTGATCTCATGACTCATGCGATCATGACCCGAGCCAAAACCAAGAGTCAGATGCTTAACCAATTGAGCCATCCAGGTAACCCTCCATCTAGTGTATTTTTAATTTCAGTTATTAAGTTCTTCATCTCAGGTTTTTTTTTTGTTGTTGTTTTCCGTCTCTTTATAAAGGGTCTCACTGAGGTCTTTCAGTCTCCTCAAGTCCAGTATCTTTATGACTATTACTTTCAATTCTCTATCATATGTATTACTTATCTCCATTTTGCTTAGGTCTGTTGCTGAGATTTTGTCCTGTTCTTTCACTTTGGACATTTTCCTGTCTCCTATGTTGTCTCTTTGTGATTTTATGTGTTAGAAAAGTCATCTACATCTCCTGCTTTGAAAGTAATGGCTTTATGAAGAAGTCCTATAGTGTCCTGCAGTGTAGTGTCCCCTGTTCATCAGAACCTGGTGCTTCTGGGGTCTCTCCTGGGTATGCTGTGTCTTGCTATTATGTCTGAGCCACATTTTCCTTCAGTCCAGTCATCTGCAATGGTTCTCTACCTGTGTAGGCAGACTTTGGTCCCTGTGTTACTAGTGAGCCAGTCTGGAGGTGCCTTGGGTTTGAGATGACTCAAACCAGGAGTTTGTTAGAGATGCAGTAGCACTGAACTGCAGGGTAGTTTCCCTGTGTTGTCCCCTGAGCAGCTTTCATTGGTGGGTGGGGCGTGCAGTCAGACCAGATGTCTGCCCCCAGGCCACTGTTAGAGCTACAGTCTGACCCCATGTATGATTATCTTTCCCTCTCCTAGAATAGGAGTCACTTAGCAGTGGTGCTGCCCCCTGTTGGGGCTGCTTGCACACTGCCAGGTTTGTAGCATGGGTTTCGTGCACTGGAGGGGCAGGTTCACAGAAGGAAGGCAAGGGTGGGTGCAGTGCCAGCAAGTCTCCCCAACCATGCACTTCAGGAGTGGACCTGCAACCTCCAGACTAAGGTAGGCAAGGCTGGAGGGAGCAGACCCACAGAAGTGAATGGGGCAGGTGAACGGTGGCAGCAAGCTACGTGAAGTGTTCACAGCACTGGTTTGCATAGGTGTCAAGGCTGGGAGGCAGGGAAGGAAATAGTGCCTGCCTGCTCCTTTGTTTCTGGGGAAGATCCCTGTCCCTCCAGTGCCTGTTCTATTAGTAAACAACTCTCCCTCCTGCATGCCCCAGGCATTTTTCAAACTGCTGCTTCTAGGCTGTATCTCTTTGGAGGGGCTTGTTGTGCTCTCCCTTTAAACAAGGACTCAACTTCCTCTGGTCCTCTTGGCTCTCCCAGATTTGAACCTGCTGATTTTTAAAGTTCCAGGTGTTAAACCTCACTGATAAGAACTCATGAAATTTGGCCCCTCTCTGGTTTTTAAAGCCAAATGTTATGAGAGGGGGTTGATCTTCCCTATGCCTGAGGTGTCTATTTCTTTCCTTTCCATGCCCACAGCATCCCTCCCTCCTATGTATAGTTCTAAGTGTCTGTTTAGCTCCCCACAGTGACTCTGCCCTTCCTACCTTCTTCAGTATGGCCTTTTCTCTACATTTAGCTATGAAGAGTCTGTTCTGCCAGTCATCAGATCAAGTTCTGGGTTATTTACACTTATCTGTTATCTAGTTGTATCCATGTGATGAAATGAGCTTAGGGTTTTCCTACTCTGCCATCTTCCCCAGCTCCTCCCTGCATCTCTTTCTACTAATGCTAAACATGAGATTTGTCTTCTCTCAAAGTAATGGTTAATATTATTTATGTTTTAAAGGCATAGAAACTGAGGCTCAGGAAGGGAAATGTGATGATAAGCTGATTTCTTACTTCTGGTTTCAAATTTGGATCGCCACACATCAGAGGTCAAAAAACGATGGCCTGTGGGCCAAAACAGCTGGCCATTTGTTTTTGTAAATACAGTCACAACAGCAGAGTGTAGTAGTTACTATAAAGATGGTATGGCTTGCAAAGCTTAAGATATTTACATTCTGGTCTTGACATAGATTATCCAAATATACTTCTAGAGGATGTTTTTACATTTTCTGTAAAACAAACTATCTAGATAGTACTGATGTTTTCATAAATGTCTTAGTTCATAGTCACTTGCTCAAAAGATCTTTCTCCTCAGTGATGAAGATAAACTAAAAACCTGGAAGCCCAAGTTTTTGATGGCAAAGGAAAAAAAAGGGAGAAAAGATGAAGAATCAGAAAGGTAGGCGCACACATATACTTAATTACAGCTTATCTACTGAAATATATACCTCTTACTAGCTGTGTGACTTTAGGCAAGTCATTAAATTTGTCAGGTTCCTTATCTATAAAGTGAGAATAATAGGGCAGCCTGGGTGGCTCAGCAGTTTAGCGCCGCCTTCAGTCTGGGGCGTGATCCTGGAGACCTGGGATCGAGTCCCGTGTCAGGTTCCCTGCATGGAGCCTGCTTCTCCCTCTGCCTGTGTCTCTGCTTCTCTGTGTGTCTCTCATGAGTAAATAAATAAAATATTTTTAAAAAATAAAAATGTAAGAATAATAGCACCTCTATCACCGTATAGTTGAGAGGATTAAAAGAGATAAAGAATATGAAAATGTAAAGTGCCACACACATTTCTCTTCATTATCATCATCCAGACTTTGGTGGGGATAGGGAATAAAGAAAGATTTCAAGACAGCCATTATTTTTTTTAAGATTGTATTTATTTATTCATGAGAGACACAGAGAAAGGCAGAGACACAGGCAGAGGGAGAAACAGGCTTCATGCAGGGAGCCTTACGTGGGACTCGATCCCAGGACTCCAGGATCACACCCTGGGCAGGCACGAAACTGCTGAGCCACCCAGGGATCCCAAGACAGCCATTATTAAATGATGAAAAAACTCTGTCTTCTTTTAGGCTGTAAGACCTTTTCCTCTACAGATGGAACTTACATTAATACACCAATTAGAACTTAAACTTTGAGAAACTACGTGAGAAATCACATAACAAGACTAATTTCCCAAAACATAATTCTAGTTATGACTACATTAGTGTTAGAATTTAAAAAAGAATGTTTTTTAATCAACTCAAGATCAAACTTTCATTCTTGTGACCCAGGTTCCCAGGTGGCTGTTGGGGGAGGTGATGTTTTTATGGTCTCAGATGGTTACTGTAATCTGTGCTCTGGAGGACAGGGCACAGGATCTGAGGCACTCTTAACAATGGTCTTGGGGAAATCCTTGTCTAAATAGCCATTGATCTGGGAACACTGTGTGATCTGTCTGCTTTGGGAAACTTTCTAGAAAAGTCCTAAAGGGGAATCCCCAAACAGACGTCTATCTCTACCATATTTAAACTCAGAGGATGGCACAGGATGGGTTTAGACCTGATGTAAATTACTTTTCCCAAGTTTGAAAGATGTATTCACAGACTAAAATAGCATCTCTCCACCTTAAACTTCATACTTTTACATAGCATAGCAAAACAGTTTCAAGAGAGAAAGTATCAGTGAAATTTTTGACACTCCTCCATGAAATAGGTTTAATACTTTAACGTACACATAAGTCTTTTCAGGAAAAATTTTCTAGTGCTTTATTTCTTAAACATTGTAAAACAAGTATTATAGTTTACTTTTACTTTCAACTGAGTAAATTTTAAAATGTGATATTGGGGTTATCAGTTTCCTGTAGATTAATGTATCAATTTCTATGTGCTTTTGTTCATTTTTAAATGGTTTCTACCATAACTTGTTCCACCAACAAGAAATGCTTTGTATACTAGTTAAACCCTTTCATAATCCTTTTATGAATCAAAGATCATGACAAATTTTCAGAGAAGTTGGGGAAGGATATCCCAGTATAAAGGCTTAGAAACAATAGCTCACTTTCTAAGATGTTCCAAGATTTAGACTTGTGTGTGTGTGAAGCTGGAAAGGTAGATTAGGGCTAGCTTATAAAATGCCTTGTGTACCATGCTAGTATCTTATGGGCACTAAAGACAAATGAAAGGTTTTAAGCAAAACAGTGGCATTAATTACATTTTAGAAAGGTAACTCTGGAGGCAGGTATGCAGATGGATTTGAGGAAGGAGAGGAAGATGTTATCTCAGGTAAGAAGTGGCTATAATCTTGGGACAGAACAAAAAAGATGCAGGAGGCACTTCTGAATAAAAACAGGACTTGCTTGGCTTTTTTCCATCGATATATTAAACAGCTAAAAAAAAGCAGCACCAACCCCCAAGGGAAGTGCAAGAGGGAGGAAAAGGGGGAAGAGTGTAACCAGCCTCCACTGTATTTACTTTTATGTGCTGACAATTTTGTACTTATTTTGTGGCATCTTGATGTTCTTCATCTGATTCTTCTCCAGAATCATTCAACAAACAGAACAGTATTCTGATTGAAGAACAAAGATTTATCATTTTTAAAACAAGTTAATTATATTTTGAACCCTGATTCAGAGGAATTTCTTGTTTAAGTTGCTTAACCAATTTGATTTTATTCCAAATTAATATCTTGGTATCCAGAAAAAAAAACCACAATCTTTTTAATTTTTTTTTTAAGATTTTATTTACTTGAGAGAGAGCATGAGCGGGGCGGGGGGGGGGGTGGTGGTGGTGGAGGGGCACAGGGAGAGGGAGAAGCAAGCTCTCTGCTGAGCAGGGAGCCAGATGTGGAGCTTGATCCCAGGATCCCAAGATCATGACCTGAGCTGAAGACAGATGCTTAACTGACTGAGCCCCCACCACCTTTTTAATTATAGAAAAAAGCAATTGGTATTACTTACTCTGTTGAGTTGGTCTGAATATTACACTTTGCTCTAATGGAAGTAAGTGTGTATCTATATAATTATCTACAAAGACATCTATATAGGATTATATATGATTTTCTCCAAAATATTGTGAAGTAGAATGAGTTTATAGATTTGGAAACTTAGAGTTTTATTATGGTACATTTAACCTGACTTGCATATTTCTTGCCACTTTATCTCTTAGGAATTTCTTTAGAACCAAGAAGCAAAACTTAGAAAAGATGAGAATGGAAAAAGAAGAAAAACGTTTTAGAGAACAATTTGAGGTAGGTTCTCCTCTGAAGGTTAAAATTAAAAACAGAAATTCCTAACTTTTAATAGTACTAAAGATCCTAGAAGAGTGTTGTACCTCTGGCCTCTGGAATAGAAAGGACCCAGGACTAAACAGCTGATGGTTTTTTTCCTGATGCATTTCTATCTTATCCTGCCTTTATACAGGCAATCCTCTGCCTGGAAAAACGCCTTAGTTATTCTTAAGGCTCTGTTCAAATGTCACCCACTCTTCCTAAGAAAGGAACTTAGCACATTTTATCTGTTACACACGTATCTTTTCTTTTCTTTTTTTTTTTACACGTATCTTTTCTAACACTGATGAGTTATAACACAGCCTGTGTATGTGTGTGTATTCTCCACTGAACTCAAGTCCTAAGTAAAAATTTTTGTCTCATTCAAGTTTGCTCCCCAGCTCCCAATATATCTGGACCCACAGTGTTCAGTGAGTAAATGAATAATTAGATAAATGAACAACTGAATGAGTGAATGAAAGAAGCAGTATCTGAACCTCCTTGACTTCTGTCATTATGAATCCATTAAGGAGTATTTCCTTAATTCCAAGGTTCAAACAGTCCTGCCTTATAATTTCATAAAGAGAAATTAAGAAACATACTGGATGAGAGACAGAATGTGGGCATCCTGCTTACAAAATTTGTCCAAGTTGCTACTATTCCCTATTACCAAATGGATAAAGATTGTGTTTCTTCACATGACATACAAAGCTCTTCATGTTATGACTTCTGCTTATCTTTCAGGTTTTATTTCCTGCCATTCTTCACCTTACACTTCAGTCTTTGGCAACAAACTACTTATAGTTCTGTCCCTTCAATGAACATGCACTTCAGTCCCTGTCCTGCTGCTATTTATTCCCTTCCTCTAGGCATTTACTTGGTCTGCCCTTCCTGTCTAGTGATACTCTTGCTACTTTTCCCCATCTTACTAGCTTTCATTCATTTATCAACACCCAGTCAAGGCATCTCTTCTCCTCCAGGAAGAATGACCTCATTAAGGAAATTACCCTTCCTCAGTATACCTCTATATCTGAGCCTGTCAAAAGCATTAACATTATTGCAATTATGTGTTCACCAATAATATTATGAGCTCTTAGAGAACACGGTTGTCTTACTTTTATATCCAAGTGTAGAGCAGAATAAAATTACCTTTGTAAATGTCCAAGAATGTTTTTGGATTGAACTAAAAAAGAATATACACAAATCCCTCACAATCATTAATAACTCTTGTTTTGGACCAAAGCTGATAAGGACTTATTATATCTAGAAATCATAATATGATATTACTTACTGCAACTGTGATATTAGGTTAACTGAAAAACAATAGTGTTGGGCAGCCCCGGTGGCTCAGCAGTTTAGCGCCACCTTCAGCCCAGGGTGTGATCCTGGAGACCCAGGATCGAGTCCCACATCAGGCTCCCTGCATGGAGCCTGCTTCCCCCTCTGCCTGTGTCTCTGCCTCTTTCTCTCCCTGTCTCTCATGAATAAATAAACAAAATCTCTGTCTCTCATGAATAAATAAACAAAGAAAAGAAAACCAACAGTATAACAATTACTTGCTGAAAAGACCCTATATTCCCTCTAGGACTTCTCTCACTTTGTCACTGTCTCATATTTCATGTGTATGGTTCCATTCTTCCTTACTATCTGTGGTGGATTTTCCTCATATATCATTAGAAAAACTATGCCGTATCAGTAATTTTTGTTCAGCTCACATCACAAAAGATTAGTGCCTCGTTTGCGCTAGACTTTGAGAATACAAGGATGAATAAAACTGTCTTCCACTTTCATTCTATAAGATACTATGTATAAAATGCTGTAATAGAAGTATACACAAAGTGCAGTTAAATAGAAAAAACATACATGGTAGTTGTGAAATCTCCATGTGAAGTGGTTAGAGAAAAAATTATTTCAGGTAGAGGAAACCATATGAACATAGGCTTGTAAATATAAAAGGTACCTGGTGTAATCAGGATCATCAGGTAGCTTGATGTGGCTTCATTATTGGGAGAGAAATGAAAGCATGGGAAATGACAGTATGCAAAGGACCTTGAATGTCAAGCTGAGAAATGTGGATCTTATCATGAAAGTAATGAAGAATCTTTAGAACTTGACAAAAAGAAAGTGACCTGATCAGATTTTCATTTTAAGAAATCACTGTATTCATAGTGAACAATGGCCTGGAAAATGGTAAGAAATCAGCGAGGAAGCTATTACTTTGTTAGACAAAAGAAAAATCTATCTTGTGGATCATATCCCATTTGGTATAGAGTGATATACTTTATCATCTGAATTCAGCACACTTCTGAGAGTGGGAGGAGGCATACCTAATTCTAAGTATGTATAAATACAGATACTAGGTATAATAAGCAGGCTATCCTGAGTGGAAGGAGATGTCTGGCCATCCTAATTTGGTTAACTAGGTGTCTATAAATATAAGCCAAGTATTCTGGAACTTTTTCTGGGTCAAGAGATATCAATACATTAGAAGGTAAAAATGTATAGGCTGGCTAGTTTATCACACAGAAAAAACTTCCCTTGAGGCCATAAATTAAATTTCTCATCATTTTTTTCACAAATGCCTGTCTTTGACCACAGGAGAGTGGGAACTGCTCCCCCCCTCCATACCTACTACTTCATATATAAGCCCACAGAGAGAGGAGGGGTAGAAAGAGTACTAGAAATGCTAGGTATGTTAGAACATTATAAACTCTAAAGCACTCCACGAAGAGGTTTTCTATTTCCCTCTTACTTTTCTGAGTTTAGTGGTAACTTTATTACTGCAACAGCTAAAATACCATCCATGGAACTTAATTTATACCCATGTTACAGATGTCTCATCCACCGGAATTCATTCAAAGACAATTAGGTAAGAAGTGTGAAAACACTTTGAAAATATGACAGTACCAAACTAAGAGTGGCATTTTACCAGTATTTTCCTCTTCCTTTAGATGTTATTTAATATCTAGATCTTGAGCTTGAGGTTACTATATTATGTCCTTCCATTAATTTTGTTAGAATAAAAACTGCACAGTCTGATTAGTAATTTCTTATTTCAGTATGACAAAGAGATTACTGTCATCAACACAGCAGTGGCATGTTCCAGTAATTCAAGAAATGGAATATTCTATTTGCCAATAACCCCTGGAGAAGAACTGCAAGTCATTGATACCACTGAAGAAAATCTAGTGATCTGTCGCAATTCCAAAGGCAAATGTAAGTTACTGGCTTATTACCCATAAAATTTCAGTCACTGTTTATAACTTTTCAGACTAGTGATTTTTGTTTCTACAGATGGATATGTACTAATTGAACACCTAGATTTCAAGTAAGTAGTTTGATTTTATACTTCAAATCATGAATTCTAAATACTTTATAGATTGTTGTGCACGTTTGTCTCAAAGACTCCTGCATTTATTTAAATTCAGGAAGTTTTAAGGATTACTTTGAAAGAGACTTAATTCTTGTGTCTCCTAAGTATCTTATCAGAGGTTTCTACAGGGCTTAACTATCAAACTAGTTAAGAAATCTGCCACCCGCTGCTCCGCTGGCCTCTATGTTTCTGTTTTTTCAGGCATCAAGGCTGGTCACCTTAGGAAGATCAAGCTCCATGGCAGGGGCTGCGCTAGAAAAGACTAGCCTGAGACCTCAGCCCTTCCTCACCTCAGTTTCAGGTCACATGTCAAATGGGATGGTGGGATCTATGAATACTGAGAAGAGAAAAACTCCACATTTAGATGTTGGTTTTACTCAATGGTTATCTTTCAATGTCCATGTCAGTATCTATTTCACTGCTGGCTCAAGAGAGTGTGAAACCGTGTGTGTTAGCATTTGAGCATTTATTTAGTAAGCCATAGCCAAAGTTAGAAATCATGCCTTCTGGTACCTAGGCAGCTGTGCAGATGGTTAGTCTCCTTCTAATATTAGTACATGAGTGTTTATAATTTCTAGAAGATGTTGTGCATTTAAACTGGGTATAATTTACTTCTGAAAAGTAAGTACTGTAACCAAGGTCTTTTAAATACTCAGATTTAAGGTATAACCTTAAAACATAATTATGGCTCAGTCTTTAAAACATCAAGGTATAAGTGTCCTCCTTTTAATCAAAAAACAAATCAGACAAATGCTGTTCCATATTGGCTTCTTGTGGGAATAGGATGCTGAAAAGTAACTTATTCTTGAAGGAAGAGCCTAAATCTATTTTACACAATTTAAATAATATATATATACTGTTTAAAACATCCTATTGCCCAAAGAAAAATAATTCTATGCCTGAACCACCTATTAAATAGAATTAAAGAAAAATAAAATGAAGCTGTAAATAACATTGTTTTTTACATGATGTGCACTGCCTGTCCATGAAAAAAAATTCTATATAGGTATACAGCTGTTTTAAAAATTGTTAGCTTCTTCAACACCTAAAAACTGAACAATTTCACTCCATTGTTTTTATCTCCAGCGGACTCCATCTCACAATCTCAAGATCACAACCTGAGCTGAAACCAAGAGCTGGATGCTTAACTGACTGTGACACAGGGGGCCCCTTTGTTCTTTAGCCTTCAAAGGTGTGATAGAATTTGTCCCACGGCCCCATTCTTTATGAGACTTTTTAAAAAATTTTATTTAAATTCAATTAACACATAATGAAGTATTAGTTTCAGAGGTAGAATTCAGTGATTTAGCAGTTGCATTATAATACCCAGTTCTCATTACATCATGTGTCCTCCTTAATGCTCATCACTCAGTTTGTTTCCTAGAGGCAAGAGACTCTTCAGGTTTGCTGTGAGACTATGTTTTAAGCTTCTAGGTTCTTTTATCTCCTTTTTCATGTTCCAAGTGGCACTCATCCAATAAAGACCAAGCATCAGAAGTATTCATAGAGGAAAGGGGAATATGGCAGCAGAATAGGAGGATTCTAGGCTCACTTCATCCCACAAATATGACCATGTAACTATCAAATCACACTAAATGCTCCAGAAATTGATCTGAACACTGGCAGAACAAATTCCACAACTAAAGGTAGAGAAGTGGTCACATATCAAAGGCAGGAAGTACAGAAACACAGCTTGTCATGGCCCCTGTGGTGGGAAGGGAGCCATGATTGTCGAGAAGGGCAAGAGACAGACTAACACATGGGAGCATGCAGGGAAAATGAATGCCCATAGCAATTGGCTTAGAATGTGAGAGGGGCCAAATTCAGTGGAGCTTAAAGCCTGGAGTTTTAAAGGTCACTGTGCTTGGCTCTGTGAGAGTGCAGAGGACATACAGGGGTAGAAACAGCCACTGGAAGAGCCACTGGAGCACACGGTAGGAGGGTTAGTTGCTTACCTCCAAGTCCCAGAGAGATAGCGTTCAGGGAGAGACCCCTTGAGGAATAAAGGAACTGACAGGTGCCATTTCCTGCCCCCATCCCTTAGCATAAGCACAGATCCACCTGCAGGAAACAGCACAGCTTAATACTCACTACCTAACTTGCTTACACCAAGTCCCACCTCCCCAAGCTCCGGAAGAACTACTTTTCCTACTCTGCTTACCTCAGTCCCAAGGCAGCAGGCCTCAAACTCTAGAAGACCAGCACAAGCATCTGTCAACACTGCTTCTTACAACCTGGGAGTTTGTGAGGCCTTGGTTTCAGTGGCAACTGTGTCCTCATTTCGCAAGCAGACCAGAACACACCTCGTTAAAAGCACACCATATTCAAGCTAGAGCCACTGCCCACAGTAGGCAAAGAGGGCTTCTGTAGACAACTTGCCTGAAGGATAAACCAGCACACATTGGAGATACTCCCAGAAGTGCCAGGCCCTGGGAACAGGGGATACTACATTACAGAGCACTATAGGACTTCTTCATAAAGCCATTACCCTCAAAAACAGGAGACGTAGCTGACTTTACTAACACAGAAACAGGCATAGAGACTTAGACAAAATGAGAAGACAGGAGAATTTGTCCCAAATCAAAGAACAGGACAAGCCATGGCTAGGAATCTAAGCAAAAGAGATACAAGTAACATGCCTGATGGAGAATTTAAAGCAATGACCAGGGGTGCCTGGGTGGCTCAGTCAGTTAAGCATCTGCCTTTGGCTCAGGTAATGAGCTCAGGGTCCTGGAATTGAGCCCTGCATCAGGCTCCTTGCTCAACGGGAAGCCTGTTTCTCCCTCTGCTTGTGCTCTCTCACTGTCTCAAATAAATATTTTTTTTAAATGATCGTAAGGATACTCACAGGACTTGAGAAAAGAGTGGAGGACATCAGTGAGACACAATATAAAGGGTTCAATAACTGAAATGAGAAATATGCTTGATGGAATGAACAGGCTGAAAGAAACAGAAGAATGAATTAATAACCTAGAAGACAGAGTAGGGGAAAGTAATCGAGCTGACTAAAAAATTATGCAAAACAAGAGCAAACTAAGGGAACTTAGTGACTCCATCAAACATAATAACATTCATAATATAGGAGTTGCAGAAGAGAGAGAAAAGGGGGTAGAGAATTTACTTGAAGAATAGCTGAAAACTTCTCTAATCTGAGGAAGGAAATAGCCACATCTAGGAGGCACGAGAACCCTCAAGAAAAGCAGATCTACACCAAGACATACTGTAATTAAAATTCTTAAAAGCAGCAAGACAAAAGACAGTTACATACAATGGAAACCCCATGCTAGCAGTGGATTTTTCAGCAGAAACTTTACCAGCCAGATGAGAAGGGCATGATATATTCAAAGAGCTGAATGAGAAAAATCTGCAGCCAAGAATACTCTATCCAGCAAGGCTATCATTCAGAATAGGAGAGTTTCTCAGATGAACAAAAACTAAAGGAGTTCATGACCATGAAACCAGCCATGCAAGAAATACTAACAAGGACTCTTTGAGCAGAAAGACCAAAATGGAAATATGAAGGTAGAAAACACAAAAGCAGTAAAAATGAATATTTCCGTAAAAAATCAGTCAAGAAATTCACAAAAAGGATGTAAAATAGGACACCACATACCTAAATCATGAGAAGGACAGGAGTAAAGAATGGGTTCAAACTTAAATGACCATCAATTTAATGTAGACTGCTTTATGCAGATGTTACACACCAACCTAATGGTAACCACAAGTCAAAAATCACTAATAAATATGCAAAGAATAAAGAGAAAGAAATCCAAATATAACAGAAAATCTTCAGAAACAACTGCAAAACAATAAAATGGCAATAAATACATATCAATCAGTAATTACTCTGAATGTAAGTGGATTAAATATTCAAAAGACATGGGTCTTATTTTTTATCCATCCTGTCACCCTACTTATATGTTGCCTACAACAGACCCATTTTAGACCTAAAGACACCTGCACATTGAAAGTGAAGGATGGGGAAACATCATGCAATCCGATGTCAAAAGAAAGCCAGGGTAGCAATGCTTATATCAAAGACTGTAACAAGAGACAAAGGACACTATATAAATGTAAAGGGGACAATCCAACAAAAAAGAATTGTAAATATTCATACACCCAACACAGAATCACTCATATACATAAAATAGTGAATAACAAACATAAACTAATCAATAATATGGTAATAGTAGGGGACTTCAACACCCCACTTATATCAATGGACAAATCAACAGAAAATCAAGGAAATAATGGCTTTAAATGACACACTGGATCAGATGGATCTAACAGATACGTTCAGAACATTCCATCCTAAAACAACAGAATATACCTTCTTTTCAAGTGCACATGGACCATTTTCCAGAATAGATCACATATTAGGCCACAAAACAAACCTCAACAAATTAAAAAAATCAGAGTCAGACTATGCATCTTTTCTGAGTACAGTGGTATGAAACTAGTAGTCAAACCACAAGAAAAAATTTGGGAAGACCACAAATAAAGGTTAAATAACATGCTACTAAACAATGAATGGGTCAACCAGGAAATAAAAGGAAAAAAAGTGTATGAAAACTCTTGGATGCTGCAAAAGTGGTTCTAAGAGGGAAGTCTATAGTAATACAAGCTTACCTCAAAAAGCAAGACAAATCTCAAATAAATAACCTAATCTTACACCTAAGGGAGCTAGAAAAAGAACAAAACATAAAATAAGCAAAAGGAAGGAAATAATAAAGATTAGAGCAAAAATAAATTATATAGGAACTAATAAAACAGATAAGTGAATCCAGGAGCTGGTTCTTTGATACCACATCAGGCCAGTATCTCTGATGAACAGAGGTGTAAAAATCAACAAAATACCAGGAGACTGAATCCAACAATATATTTTAAAAAATCATTCACCACAATCAAGTGGGATTTATTTATTCCTAGGTTGCAAGGTGGTTCAATATTCACAAATTAATCAACATGTAATCAAATCAACAAGAAAAAAGAACCACAGGATCATTTCAAGAGATGGAGAAAAAGAATTTTACAAAGTATAACATCCATTCATGATAAAAACCCTCAACAAAGTAGGTTTACAAGAAACATACCTTAACATAATAAAGGCCATATATGAAAAACCCGCAGGCAATCTCATCCTTAATGGAGAAAAACTAAGTGCTTTTCTGCTAAGGTCAAAAACAAGGATGTCTGCTTTCATCACTTTTATTCAACACAAATGAAATGCCTAGAAGATTAAGAAATGTTTTATAGATAAAGGGACACCGAAATTCAGTGTTTATATGCAAGTATGTTTGCTGGTCAAGGAGCACACACAGATGGAAAATCTATGCTAGGTCTGGTGAGAGATGGCCAGAGCTGCAATGGAGTAAACTGCAACTTAAAGATTTCACTTGGACATTTTCCGCTAGAGTGAGGAGACATTCAGAGGTCTTAAGCAGGAAACTAGTGCCAGATATTTAGAGAGGAAGGAAGAAAAACTATCATAGCAACATGGCTGATACACTGAAAAAACTTTATTTCTCTAATATTCTAGGCAAAAGGCCTTAATTTTTTTTATTATTTATTTATGATAGTCATAGAGAGAGAGAGGCAGAGGGAGAAGCAGGCTCCATGCACCAGGAGCCCAATGTGGGATTTGATCCTGGGTCTCCAGGATCGCGCCCTGGGCCAAAGGCAGGCGCCAAACCGCTGCGCCACCCAGGGATCCCCCAGCAAAAGGCCATAAGACAGCAGCAAGAGAACTATCTAGTATAAGAGCCCCATTAGAGATAGTACAGAGGTAAAGAGACAAAATGTCTTGGTGACTGATTAGAAGTACAGGTGGAACAGAGAATTAAGGAATTACTCAGATTTCTTTTTTGAGAGATGAGATTAAGGCTGGTACCAAATATTGGAAATCTATTTCTGTTGGACCCCCTGAATTAAATCTGCTACTCAGTGAGAGGCAAGTACAGCCCTCTCCCATACTCCAGGAAAAGACCTGTTACAGTGGGCACTGTAGAAGAGAAGTATGGCCTGTAGGCAAGGAGGTAAGTGAGAGACAGGCTAAGCAGAGACCTTTCCTGCCAACAATCCTGTCTAGTAGAGTCAGAAACTATATATCACTCTTGCCAGCTTATCAGATGGTCTCTTGCTGTAATTCAGTAGCTCAGCTCTGAGCCTCTATTTACTCAGTAGAACAGGGCTAGTAACACTCAGTTTGTCTACTTCAGTGTTGTAATCAGGCTATAAATAATATAAATAAAAAATGTCCTAAAATCCTTAGTGCGTAATACAGTATAAATATTAATACTTGGCCTTTTCTGTAGTTGAAGATGTTAGAAACAAAAATATAGTTTTGACATTCAACTCTTAAAAGAATGGCTGGGATGTTATAGGTAAACTGAATGTTTTAAAATATGAATCATTTGGTCTAATAGAAATTACTATTTATTGATATGGAACAGGTTTGTAGGAAGAATAATTGCTTCTATCCTATCCATAATCAATGGTTATAACTATGTGGTTATAGTTCTGTTGCACTAATGTCAGCCACATTTCTTCCATTCTTTAAATCCTAGCATTCAAAACTAAATTTCTCATTATTGATGTACCAAATTTTTTAATGTAAACACTGTAATATTGCTGCTGTCCAAGCAGTGATGTCCAAGCAGATGCCATCTGCCTCCTACAAACCCTAACCTAGCATAAAACTTAAATGGAAAGATGGACTTTTTTGTTTTAATTTTGTATAAAAAGATAAAGACAACAGCATTCAAAGGAACTTGATCCTAACAGAGGCTAACACAGGCACACTCCAATTTACTTACAGGCCAGGCCTCTAGCAACCTATAAACATGTACCAATAAAACCTTCCCTTCCTCCTTTTGAGTACTTCCGTGAAACACCTGGTTCTTCTAAGATGACAGCATTCTCTTGAGCAGAACCTCCCCCACACATCTTCAGAACTTTTAAAACATAGATTCTAAAGGAAACTATAGGAAGAGAAAACAATGAATATATAATGACAAATTCCTAAAAAGTATTTATTTTAGGGTAGGGATGATATTTCCTTCAGCTTCTTCATACTTCTGTTTTCTTTTCAAATTTCCTATGATAAGCATCCACATCCATGAAATTTAGGAAATAAAGGAAAACCGTTTTAACTAATAAAAACAAATCTCTTTGAATAACGCAAATTGAAATCTTGTTTAGCCTAGGCAGCCTTTAGTGTAAAGTTCTATTAGGTCAGAGGTCCTTTACACCTTCCTATTTTATGGTTGTGGTAAACAGAATTTTTTCCCCTGTGATCTTTATGCCTTGGTGTTATTCCTAAAAACATGTGACTTGGCAAAAGGGACTTTATAGATAAAATTAAAGTTGCTAGCCATTTAACCTTAAGCCAGAGAGATTAGGGGTGCCTGGATGGCTCAGTAGGTTAAGCGTCTGCCTTCAGCTCAGGTCACGATCTCAGGGTCTTGGGATCAAGTCCCATGTCAGGCTCCATCTCAGCAGGGAGTCTGCTTCTTCCTCTCCCTCTGCCCCTCCCCTCCACTTGAGTTCTTTCTCTAATAAATAATATCTTTATAACAGATTATCCAGGTGAGCCCAATTTAATCACAGGGAACCTTAAAATCAGAAGAGGAAAACAGAAGAGTCAGCCAGCCAGTCAGAGAAAAATAGTGACAGAAGAGGCAGGAGAAATTCAAAGCATGAACCCCCTGTTGCTGGCCTTGAAGATAAACGAAAACATGGGCCTGTAAACAATGGTGGCCCTTAGAAGCTCCAAATGATCCCTAGCCAACAACCACAAAGGAAATGGGACTTCAGTCCCAGAGTAACATGGAACTAAATTCTGCCGACAACCTCAAAGAGCCTTGAAACAGTCTACTCCCCAGAACCCAACCCTACCAGTGCTTTGGTTTTCAGCCTTGTGCGATCTGAAGAAGCAACAGTGAACTTCTGACTTACAGAACTGTATGTAAGATAATAAATTTGTGTTGTTACTAAGTTTGTAGTAATCCGTTATGGCATCAATAGAATATACAATGGCTAAAGTTAGAAACTACAATGTACGACAAAAGTAGTATGAATTCTTCAAAGAACCGGAGTCCGTCTTTTTCTACAACAGCTTTCTCTGTAACTATTAATTTATGTGTAGAATATTAGTTTAATGACTGAGCAGAAACAAAAATAGCTTTCACATTAACTAGAGACTTTAATTTGATTTTGTGAAAAAAGCTTATAAGCAATCAGGCTGCTTTTCTCTTTTGTGTTTGTTACTTATGAATATGCACAGTGCAAATATTAATCAGAGAGAACCTGTAACTACGAACTGCTGTGTAGTTCAAAATGACATCTTTACCACATGGTTACTGGAAGACAGAGCCATCCCACTGATCATTTAATACCCACAAAAAATACACAACAAACAAAACTGAAATTTGAATCTATGGCATTAAAACACAAAAGCACTCAAAGTCGGGGCTTTTTTTCCTTTTTCTAGAGATAAATTATAAAAAGTGATCTCAATTTCCAAAGTTTTAAAAAGATTTTAATAGATACATATCAAGTGCTTCAACAGGTGAATGTATTAGCCTACGGGATATTCTTTTTCAAAAATAGACGAAGAAAGAATGAATGCAGGATATTGAAAATTTTTTGACTAATTAATATCCAATCTTACATTTTCTTATGATTGTCATGGTCATAACTGATGGCTATCAACTTTCAGTTTTTTTTGTTGCACTCAAAATCCACTTTATATTTAAGCATACTTGACAAAGAACACAAGCATTCTTCTTAAAACAATATTTAGATTACTCTGCTGAGAGTTCACAGTTCTCTAACAATTTTATATTAAACACACTAAACATTGTACAACCAGAGATATTTGTGAACAGTCTTGAGAGAAAGCTGTATTTTGGTACATTAAGGCAGCTTCAGCCAACATTTTAAGAGGTTCTGAATATTCGTTGCCACAAAAGACAAATTCAAAATTTGAGTACTTGATATTTTCAAGAAATAATCATAAAAGAATACCATAATTTGTGAAACTGTAGTCTTAAATCTTTTTACCACTATATTCTTACCACATGAGACTTACCTAAAATCGATACTCATCCTATCAGTATCAAAGATACTCACTTTAAAAAAAAAATAGGAAGGGATTTACCTTAAATATGATGATAAACCCTGTATTTAAGCAAGGGCCTGCAAACAGTTACTCACACACATCTGTGAGGTAGGTTATTGTCCACATTTTGTAGATGAGAAAATTCAACCAAACTGAGAATCACATTCCAAATTAGATTTCTGTTCATTCTACATTATTTCTTGCCTTTACAAACATTTTAAAGGGTTGAAATGTAAAGATTGTTAATCATTGCATTCATTTTAAAAACATGAGAAAGCAGCCAGAGTTTCACCAAAGTTACTTAAAAAGTAAAGCAACATAAAAGGAATAGAAAAATACATCCAGTGAACAGCTTCTGACAGTGATAGGGTGAGGTCTGGCCAAAGGAGCCTGAAAAGCCAACAGGCAAAAGCAAACAATGTAACCGTTTGTGGAGGGCAGATCTAAGGAAAAATGAGAGCAATTAGGAAAAAAAAGAGTTCAGACAAATATTTGACTAATTATTACTATTCCTATAATTTGAAAAGGCACAAATTTAAGGTGTTTTGTTCAGAGCAATGGATCTATTTCATTTTCCATTCAGGAAAATGTCATCCGTCTTAGAAGAATGGCCTTTCTTTGTAACAAAACTAACTTAAAAGAGATTCTTAGCTGTGAGAAATAAATGCTTATGTTAGCAGCAAAAAATTAACTATGCAGTTCTCCTTGGCTAGAACATTTCTATTTCTCCTTGAAATTTTAAATCAACACAAAATAGGTAACTTGAAAAATCACACGCATGAACCTTGTCAAAATTTTATGTATGTTCAGAAAAGTTGTCAGGCTAGGATAGTCTACAAATACACTTAAGGTTTTTTTCCTGGAAAGAACACACTACTCTAGGGTTTCCATAATTGCACTTTAAATATAACTGAAATTCACCTACCTTGCTTGTGCAAACAATCATGAGCTACTTCCATAAAATCTAAACTGCTTTTGGATATAAACAAGTAGTTACCAAAAGTCACATGACAGTCTCAGCTGCAAACTGGCACTGCTCTGCAAGTGTGGCACTAAACACAAACACTGGCTCACTACAGTAATACAGGCCCACAGTCTGGTTACTTCTAGACCCAAACTGATTCTTATCAGGTTATGGCTGAAAAAGTTTAATTAAAACTCAATCCAGTCTAGACTGTGAGTCCTGTTCTTTATGCTACTATTGTTCAGTGGCATCAAATGCATCAAGATTTTGTATGTGGAAAGATTAGTAAGGATGCCAGCACTTACTTAAGTAACATATCGTTTTTGAAACTCATCAAACAAAGGACATTTCAAAGTTCTGTAAGATTTGGGAGAATATCAAGCCAATACTAATTAAGTAGTTTGTGAACAGAAATATACTCTGTGAAAAGTGTTTACCATCTAAATACCAATACAAAATGAAAAATTATCAATCTGCATATGAATTTCAGATAAGCCTAATTTATTGGATAATGAAAAACTATGATAATTTAAGATTGGGGCTGGGGCTAGTTTTACTTTTTATAAAAGACTGTGCTACAAGATTCATATAAATAAAACTAAAGGAAGAATCATGCTTTCTTCAGTATTTTATAAGCACCCTCAATAACTCAGAAGTACTTAGAAATAACAATATGCTCATCATAAATACTTCAGATAATTATAGTCAGTACAATCAACCGGTTCAAATAATTAAACTAAGAAATATTCAGTTAAGACTACTTTATATCACTCTAAGACTTGAAGGCCATACATATATGTGTTTATTACTCAACTACTCCGATGTTTCAGTGATTCAGACTGTTCTCTCCTGGAGGAAGGTGGCATATTAAGAGCAGTGATCACCGCTGAATACTTGCATGGCATTAAAGCTTTATGAAGAACTTTGTGGTCCTGCTCCCTCATTTGGAGAATGGTTATACCTCACAAGATTAATGTATTAAATAAGTTAATAGATATGGTCTCTGAATCTAAAAATCACTATAAAATTATATGGAACACTTCCAATACTTCAAAATAGTAGTTTTTTACTTATGGTGCACATGATGTTTCAACATGTTTGGTTTTCTGGATGATTTTTCCCATTTGTGTTCCAAAGAACAGCTGTATTTATATTTTTTTCAAGTATATACCTTTAAAATGCCTCACCAAACAAATACAGAACATTCACACTAATATAAAAATCTCTAAATATATAAAAAGTGAACACTAACACAAATCACATGAAAAGGGCAAAGACACAACTTTAAAGCTCAAAGGTACCTTGGAGGCCTTTTAGTCTATTCCTCCCACTTTAAGGGTTACAAACTGAGGCCCAACATAGGTGTGAATTACCAGCAGATTGCACATATCCCTCAACCAGATATTTCTAATAGACCTTCTGAAAACTATTATTAAAATAAATTAATTCCCTATTTAAAAAGTCACAGAGTGATAGAATGACCAAGTAAAGAAATGCCAGATTGAAAAGGTGGAGTTCTTTAAAAACATAAACAGATAAAACTGTGAACATGTTTAGCATTTAGATATTGAGATTTCCAGTCATTAATAGAATTTAAATTATTAACCAGTGAATAAACATAGATACAGTAGTGTCTGTGGTAACCACATTCTAAGCTTTTACATTTTATAAGTGGAAGGTACAGTGCTTATATTAATTCAGTATACTGCACATTAATAGAAGCTACAGATAAATTCAAATAGTCAAGAAAACTGTAACAGTTGTCTATGGTTGTTTTCTCAGTTATGTCTCTTCTAATATAAAAAACCAATTTATTTTCCCTGAGTACAAACTGGCTAGAGAATAAAAAGCAAGCCCACAATTAGTAACTGTCATGGGAACCCTATTTGCAGAAAATGGAGAATTGTTTTTAAAACATATAGCCAATTCCCTGACTGAGAAATACTGGTACTTCTAATTAATTTAGGCTCCTAGATTCTTGTTATAGATGGCTAATATCAAGGAAAGCAAACACTCGAGATTACAAAAGTGTGTCAAAAGTTTGTTAATCAAATCAAAAGCCCAACTTGAAATAGTTTGCCTACGTCCCTATTCAATTTGTTATCTGTTCCTACATTAAAATATTACAAGAATTAGAGCTAAATATGCTGTCCAATATAAAAGTATTTAGAAAATGTTCACTGACTACACATTTTTAGAGTAAGAATCAATGTCATGGACTCACTGCCCACAGAAGCCATAGAGCCATAAGCATTAGTCACTAGTTTCTTAGCCCTTTTTTCCAGGTAATCTGGTTTAAGGTTTTTCAGCTATCCATTCCACACAACAAAAAATAAATTTTGCTCCCAAACAAATCACAACCTGATTAAGAAAATCAAGGTACTATGAAATACATCGCAGACATAAAATTTCTGTTTAGTCCAGCATTTGCTCAAAATGGATATGTCCACGGGTTAAAATGAAATTTTTCTGATTCTGAACCATATTGTCTCCAAAAGATAAGAAAAGAAATCTTAATTCTATTCCTTCCTCTGTAGTTATAATTACATAATTACATGTATGTATTAATAAACATAATTAACCAATTCCAGAAACCTGGGACAATAATTTTCCAAAAACAGTATTTTTCAAATTTGTGCTTTCCCATGGGCAATTAAATTTAAAATATAGTTAAATTAATTTGGGCAAAGCAGGGTTAAAGTCAAATTTTTTTTTCACTGAAGGGCTTTTCAAAGTCTTTAATGCTCATATCTATTGTCATCTTCAAGCAGGAGTGTGGCATCTAACATTTTCCAAACTTGCTCAATAGACTCGTTTTTCAGCAGAGCACCTCAGGGATACAGTGTGAGAACTGCTTTTTAGAACCATATGGAGTCCATTTCCATGATGTAGCTAAGTCTTTTCTAACCTAATAATAGAAGCTCTCCTCCAAAATCTTAACTTGAAGAAATTCTTCCCATCCCAGATCTAACCACCACATACCACATCCACAATTAACCAGCTTACAAGACTGAAATGTGTAAATTTAGCAACTGATTCTATCTTCCTGCCCATTAGCAACAAAAGCCTCCTGTGACAATGTTCTAGCCCCTATTATGTTGGGCTGAGCCCCCTGAAATCTTTTCTATATAAAGCAATGTACTAAACCTTCTAGATTCAGAGTTTCTGTGCTTTAAAAATGTAAGCATACAAGAACTGAAACTGCAATGCTGGTTTTCCTAATATTCAACAGGTTGTCATCAAAATGTAGATATTCACGAATAATGGCAAGAATGAGAAAATAGTATATAATATTTCTAATTCTCAAATAACATAACCACCCATATAAAGTAATTTTGATATAAATAAGTTTTTAATATCTGATTAGACTAACAAAGCTAAAATGTTACTGTCTTCCTTGCTGCTGTTTCTCCACCTTCAAAATTGTTAGGGATTTTATCATTGGGGATAAGGAATCATTAGATTAATTCCTTATTTCTAAGGTCATCCCATTCATAGTCAAGCACATATTATGAGGTGGCCCTGTTTTTCCCAAAAGAGGTATTTACACATTTGGAGAGGCCAATATTATGCCTTATGTATATGCACATCAGACTAATACAGCTAGACTGCTTATCCCTGTAAAAAACAATCATAAAAAGTACCCTTTGGTGCCACTAGATGGCAATCTTTCCAAGGTTTAAACTTAAAACAGTTTAATGCAAACCCACCCTCTTTCCCAAATTGGGGAGCAACAATTCCTTTTGATATTAAGAACTCAAACTTAAGATTAACTTAACACCATTTTTTTTTAAATTCTATAAACTAATATGATGTGACATACCGCAAACTCCTGACTCAAAACTACTTAAAGACAGGCATGCTTATCTTTCATAAACTCTTATAAGAGAAACTTGGCCAGATTTTCATTTGCTTCTTGGTAGAAAACATTATTTTTGGCAAAGAGAAACCTGTTTTCAAGAGCTTAATCTTTTCTAGGGTGGGTCAGGTGAATGAGAGTGTTAATTACATCACGTTAAACAAATGAATAAATACAAATTAGATAAATTACACATAATTTAAAAATTAAATACTTTCACTAAAACAGTATAAGCAACAAGCTATTATCTACTCTGCTGTATATAGGTTTCTTTTTAATCTTAAAAAAAAAAAAAACCTGCACAAAGCAAAACAGTTTGGTTTTCCTTTAAAAGCCCTGGTGTGTGAATACATATATGTATATATATAAACAACACATATATTTATTCAAGAGAATTTTTTTTTTTTAATATTTAAGGCTTCCCTACCCTAACAGCCTCAACAGTGAAGGTCAGTGCCTAAAAAGCTTAGGAAGTACACAAAGGCCCTTTGGGCCAGAAAGCTGTTTTCAAACTGAATGGCTAGCAACCAAGATAGAGAATAGAGAAAGGAAAGCAGAAAAGATTTAAAAGCTAAGTCTATCAGCCACGAAGGATCAAAAAACAAAGACAGTGGTGGTGGGGAGGTGAGGGAGGGGGATGGTTGCAATAACAAACTTGAACTTCAGATGAAGAATTAGTATTGTGATATGCAGCGGGATACCCATGCACACTCCCCACCACCACATGTATTACATCAAAAATAAGAGTTCTCTTTTAAGGGACTGTTGATAATTTTGCTTTGTTTCATTTAACTTATTTTACCATGCTTGATAAAATACAAAAATAAATAGAGCCAAAAAGAATTTGAGAAAGGTAGTTTTGAAAGCATGTTTTAAAATATTAATTTTTTTAAAAAAAGTTTATGAAAAACACAAAAGTTGTTGCAATTCCAGATGTTCCAGTACTAAGTAGAACATTGAAGACTCTTAAGATAAATATGTTATTCAAGGAAATCTCAAAATAAAACCTCTAGCTGGTTATAAGTTATTTTTAAGGAACCTGTAAACCAGTTATCTGTTTCAGAACCACAGCCCTTCTGTTAAACACTAGGCAGTATTTGCTAAAGCTAAAATTACAAGAACAATTTGGCTTCTGAAATTTGGGGGGCCAGCCTTTAATGCTTCAACATTTAAATACTATCTTACTAATGGCTGTATTATTTTTCTTCTTGTGCAAGAGAACTGGATGCATAAACACAGCTTAAAGCCTGCCAAACTTTAGGAAGTAAACTGGATTTACCTACATTAAATAGTAAAGCCAAGAGGTGAGGCCAAACCACTCTTTGAGATGATTCACCAGTGAAGGTGTATTAATCATCTGTAGTGAACTCACAATTTTAAATTAACAATAATTTTCATCAATGTTCACCTATTAAAGGTAGAGCCTCTATGAATTTATCATAGGCAAAATAGAATTACAGATGTCTTCAGGTAAATAAAATGTCAGACTTTTTTGTTTTCAGTAATTTCAATGGCATTGAGTGTCCCCTGGAAATATTCATGACTCTCAATCAGTATTCCAGAGTATGTGATATCATAAGTAAAACAATAATTTTTAGAATCTATCTGATTTTCACAGTGTAATAACAGAAAGACAAAAACTAGAGAATCATCATCAACGGGCTAAAGTAGTGATCAGACTGGCACACATTTCAAAAAAATCCATGGTGTGACTGCCTAGGCGGGGTGGAACTGAAGACAATGTACTTCCAGTCAAAGAGCCAGTAAGAGAGCCAGAAAGTGAATGGCTCTCCGCAGTCACAGAGTCAAAACTTGACCTTGGTCTATGTAAGCCAGCAGCAGAACAGGAACGCTGAGGTGTTGAAGAACCAGACCTCTGCTCCACCACCTCATCTGAAATGAATAAAAGAAGAGCAATTTATATGAAAGGTATATATGCCTGAGCCCTTCTTAAGAAGATGGTACATTCAGAAAACTGAGTAAACATATATGAACAAGGGAAACTTAATGGATGTCATGTTTCAGAGTTTTAAGAGCAGGGGTGGCAATACCCCTTTCCTCCCACAATCGTAACAGACATCAACTAATCAATCACAACACTAATACACAGAAAATGTCACCCCTAAATCCTTCTCAACATAGTATTTGGCATCAGCCGTGAAATCAAACAGATATCCCATGTGAAGAAAGCACATCCTTGAAGGATTAACAAAAAATATTAAAATAAAAGTTACATTGGTAACTTTTACAATCATTATACAGTGATTCCGAACCTTCAGTGCACACTGACTGGGGACGGGGTGAGGAAAATCCTGTTAAAGATTTCCGGGGGATCCCTGGGTGGCTCAGTGGTTTAGCGCCTGCCTTCGGCCCAGAGCGTGATCCTGGAGTCCCAGGATTGAGTCCCACGTCGGGCTCCCTGCATGGAGCCTTCTTCTCTCTCTGCCTATGTCTCTGCCTTTTCTCTCGCTCTGTGTCTCTCATGAATAAATAAATTTAAAAAAAAATAAAGATTTCCAGTTTCCCAGAAGTCACCTCAAGAGATTCTGATTTGGGAGATCTGGGGGTAGTTACCAACAATCTGCATTTTAATAAGAACTCTAGGTAATTCTGATGATGGTGGTCAGAGACCACATAAATACTATAAATACTATAGTCAGTGGTAGCTGAGGAATAAAATTTAACTCTTCTGTTGAAAACAACTTCCTTAACTCTGAACTCAGTTCTCCTCTTGTTCTATCTTGCACCTGACCCCTGGTTTACTGTTTGTATCCCACTTGCGCCTCTAAACTGAACAAGCAAATAAATAAAATCTTTAAAAAGAGGGGGGGTGGGCAGCCCGGGTGGCTCAGTGATTTAGCGCTGCCTTCAGCCCAGGGTGTGATCCTGGAGACCTGGGATTGAGTCCCACTTTGGGCTCCCTGCATGGAGCTGCTTCTCCCTCTGCCTGTGTCTCTGCCTCTCTGCCCCTCTCTCTCTCTCTCTCTCTCTCTCTCTCTCTCTCTCTCTGTGTGTGTGTGTGTGTGTGTGTGTGTCTCTCTCATGAATAAATAAATAAAATCTTAAAAAAAAATAAACTGAACAAGCACATCTGGTTCATGAAAGTTTGACTTCTGGTACCCACTAAGTACTTAAAACACAACCCACAATCACCTCCCTTGACTCCTTCAGTCTCCTGGATGGCTGGAGCATCAAAATTAAACCTGAACCAAAGAGAGGCCCATCTGGCCAACTAGGATGAGGGAAGTTGATGAACGAGGAAGTTTAGATAGTGGAATCCTAATAATAATAAAATATGACTGGAGAAATGTGACAAAGAACCTGACAACATCAGTTAATTTTAGGCAAAAATTGCTTCCCTATTGTTCCTTACTTTTGCTCCACAGCCAACACTTCAAGTGACTTTATGCCAAGGAGGCACATCTTTTGGAGAGGTGCTGGGTTAGATATAGGTCTTCAATCTTTTTCATTTCACTTGCATTTTTAGCTAATTCTAGATTACTTAAAAACCAGTATAGAAGACCTACCCACCATGTCTTTGAGATGATTTTAACATCTTGTCAACTAGTGCCAAGTTTTATCTTCTCAGAGCTCATGTCTGCATAGCTTCCTTACCATCAATGCTTTTAAAGTCCAAAAGATAGCTTCTATTGTCAACCAGGTAAAGTTGTAAACTCATTTTCACATAATTGCCAGTCACTGGATTTTTTCTTCTTACACGAAGATGGTATGCATTCACTACCTAAAATGGGAAATCTTTTTTAAGGAAAGTTGTTAAAAATAACGAACTACAAAATATCTCCCTTATTCTTATCGCAAAGAATATCAAAAGAAACAACTGACAGAGGTAGGGTAGAAAAGGAATTCCTGTATGATCTTTTTATATTACATGACAGTTTAGTATTTATATTTAATCTCCACTAATCAGACTGTGCAAAGCAACTGGAATTTAAAGGGCACTCAGAGATTATATGGAGTCTAGGCCTTCATTCTAGATGTGCCTCTGTTCTAAAATGTCAACAATTCTGATCATCTTGAATAACTTTACCTATTAATATGGAGTAGAAGGAATAAAAAAGAACACATTAATAGTTTGCATTAGGCAATATAAACAGGTACTGTCACAAAATTTAAGTATTCAAATAATCCTGTGAAGAAGTATTATTTGCCTTTTAAAGAGATAAAAACTACAGCTCAGATAAAGATAATTATGGATTTTTAAAACATCTATCAAATAAGTTCCAATTTTTTTTCAGTATTGAATTTTAATGACATTAATGTCTCTTAACTAAATCACTTAAGAAAAGGGGGATCTGTTTTTTAAGTGATTTTTAAGAGACTATTATTTTGCTTATTCATGTGCAAATAAAATGAAAATGACGGATTTTTCAAATATGTCAAATGAATATATACATTGTATATGTGAATGTTTTTCTTCCTTTAAAAATACATTTACAGTCCTCAAGAAAGGAACCAGAGTAGAAAGGATATCTGAAATGAGAAAAATGCTTTTCCTCCCACATATTCTCAAATAGAATTGTAACGAATTTGAACACTAATCAAAAAAAAAAAGAAAATTGTATGCTAAGAGTAAGAAAAATATACCACTATTTTGGGACTAGCCAAATAAAAGAGATTTTCTCAACATAGAGAAAAGTATTTATTGACTGAAAAAATATGTCCTGATGGCATATCATCTGTATTGCTACAGCTAGGGGGGAAAAGGGAGAAAAGTAAAACCATAGCATCTTTGAAGACACATGACTTTTTATTGTTATGATGCAGACAGAAATAGGTGGACTATTTTCTCAGGTGATTGATTTCAGGTTATTTTCTGTTTCTTGACCAAGAATGCTAGTCTCCAATTCAAAAATATTGTAGGTCCCCAACATCAACAATTCTTCATGCTTATAGAACTTTGTTTAGTTTTGAATGAACTTGGTATATTAATGGAAAAAATGGGAGTTTTTATCATCTAGAAGCATCAAGACCAATTTATATCTAAATCAAAACAACTTTTTTATTGACATAAGTACTCGACTCGATAGATCAGTGCAGCTTACTATACAAAAAAACAAACCTTTACAAATGATCTTAATATACTACAATTTCATACCTTCCATTCAAAATCCAGCTGCTTCATAGCTCGGTAGACTTCAGCCATAATGTCATATGGTTTGCTTTGACTTCTGATTCCAAGATGCCACTTGGCTTTTTTCACAGCTAAAGATTTGGGCTTAGTTGTATTCAGTGCATCCAATGGACATCTTGCTTTAGGGCTGTCTGCTATAAGAGGTGGCATCCTTTCTGGATGAGGTTTCAGGCCTGGGGGAATATGCATGGTACTATCATCCATAAAAGAACCAGTTGGGGGACTAGAGGCGAGGTAGAACTCACTGGCTTGGTTCATTATTCTCCGATTGTCAATGATAAGATGATAAGCCACTGCAAGCTGGTCTTGAGGGTCACCACTATATAAACTGTTCATTACTTCTGATTCTGTACACTCAAATTTTTCACACACTTCTTTCACAGCCTCATCATCAATGACGTTAGCATCATAGGAGGGGTCTTCAGGAAATAAGTAACTGGGCAAATCTTGTTTAAACCATTCATGCTCTCTAGGAAAAATACCACAATACACTATTGTAAGAACATGCTTTGGCAAGTCCCAGATAATTTAGACATGGGGCAATAAAATATAACAGAATCAGAAAAACCTATTCTCTGTGTGACCCTGGGTAAGTTAATTAGCCTCCACCCTTGAATAACTATGATTATTCAGACTTGGATATTTGGCTCACATTTTCTCAAAAATAAGTAAAATGAGCCTGTCACTTCAAAGGAAACAACCGACGGTGTTTGTTGCCAACGATAAAGTTTAAGCTTTCAAGCAAAATTTAGAATTTTATATAATTTGTATCTGCCTCCATGAGTTTGGCAGCTTCCTACTATGTAAAGACTTTTGTGATAACTTTATAATGATAGCAATGAACAGGATTTCTAATATTGTATAATGAACTTGTCACCATTCGGAAAATCTTTTTTAACTCAATAACCTGGCATCTCAATAACTTCAAATGACCAATGCATGATGTTACAAACTCATACACAGGTAAAATATCCACAAAACATAAAATAGACCAGTGGATTTTAATGCAATAAAGTACAAAAGTATGCCAATATGTTTTCTCATTTGATACTATAACAAGCTTTGGCTTAATATCAAAGCAGAATATCCACAACTATCTGAAAGACTATTCAAATGCTTCTCCTTTTTCAATCACTTATTGGAGTGATATCAGATTTTCTTCATAGACTGCAACTAATATAACATATTGCAACAGACTGAATGAAGAAGTAGGCCTAAGAATCTAGCTGAGGTTTATGAGTAAGCCCAACACTTAAGGGAATCTGAAAATGTAAAAAACAAACAAACAAAACAAAGCAAAACAAAAAAACAAAAAAAACTACCATTCTTGTTATTTTCTTTTTGGTCATTTTCCATGAAAGATATGTTATTTAGATTAACATGTACTAGTTTTACTGTTATTTTTAAGTAAATTAAGTGTTTTTTAAGTGTCTGTTTTAATTTCTTATATGAAAAATACTGACATAACCTGCATTAAAAAACATAACTCTTTGGAATTCTCAATTTTAAGACTGTAAAGGAGTACTAAAACCAAAAAGTTTGACCATCACTCTCCTAAATCTTATTTTCTCATACTTCTGGGCCTTTGCATATGATATTACTATTACCATCTAAGAACATCCCACTCCTTTTCATCTAATATGTACTATTCCTTCAAGACTGCACAAGCCTTGCTACATGGTAGACCTGGGCACCTTCTAAGCTAAATTCAGATCAATATATATTTTGTTTGAATGCTTCTTATTGACTTTAATGAATATTAACTAAGAATATACTATAGCAAAAAGTCCTCCTCACAGAGATTGTATTCTAACTGAATACAGATAAAACAAATATTCACAAAATAAATATATAGTTTCAAATATACAAATATGAAAATCCTGTGATAAAGACTGTATGTGGAAAACGGGTAAAATAAGAATATATAAATCAGAATGGGAGGTATGTAATTAGGGAAGCTATTGAGTAATATGTTAGCAGATATCAGAATGATTAGAGGTCAGCTGGGAGCAAAGAGCTGGCAAACAGATATTCCCAACACAAGAAACAATATATGTGAGGACTGAAACAAGAAAGAGTTGTGCTATGTTCAAGGAACAAGACTGAGGCCACTATCATGAAAGCAGGAGTTACAGTTTGGAGGGGCAAAAACTATCAAATATTTTTGACAGCTATAGGCTAGAAGAATGATTCTGAGACTAGAACCTACGCTTGATGAAAATCACTGAAAGACTTTAGAGACGGGTGACATGATCTAATTTGCTTCTGTAAAGATCCTGCTTGACTGAAAAAACAAAAACAATGATGATGTTGATGATGCTGGTGCAATAGTCCAAGTGAGAAATGATGTTGTGCCACGGCCTGAGAAGGATACAAAGATGAATCTTCTACAGCTTCTAGTAGATCTTTCTATTGTAACACTCACATTTTCTTATAGGTGTTGATTTTTTCTTAATTTTACCCACCAAACTCAGAGCTCCTTGAAACAGGGACCATGACTTATTTAGCTGTATTCCATTACCTAGTACAGTGTAAATGTTCAATAAATACATAATAAATGAGTATATAAAGTATGAAGATAAAATTAATTCATTAATGTGTTTATTTCCTGTACCATACTAAGCACCTAAGGTTTAGTAATAAAAATGTGAGATATTAATTTTTTCAGAAAAATGTATATAACATTTTAAAAATATGAATGACAAATAGGGAAAATGAGCCCTTCTGAATGAACTCCAAAAATTCACTCTTCCATAAAAGCATTAAGATTACTAAAAAAAAAAAAAAAAATCAAAACCAACTTTTCCAGAACCCTAGAAATTAACCAAAAGCCTGCAACTATTTAGGCTTTTACTCAAGAAAATAGCTGATCTCAGTAATAATAGTGAGATTTGAGACATTTTCTGCTGCCCCAAGTCCATCTCCCTTCGCCCATTTCTGTGGCAGTCTTGAAAACCAAGAGTCTCACAATCATGGTAGCCCAGAAAACCAGAGGCTTAGCAACCACTAAGGGGGAGACAGGTTTAGAATTAGAGCAGAAGAGGTTTAGAATTCTCCAAAGTCCTATCCTCAGAGAACTGTCTTTATTTGACATGTCTGGCAGTTCCCTGGAAATATCCATTTGAAAATCTTATCTTTTCCTGACTGATTCAGCTCTCCCTCACTGCAAATAGCCTTCCCTCCAGAACATTTGTCAAAACAACCAATGGCAACTGTCTGACATCCCAGCTGCCTAAAGAGGTAATAAGATTGGAACAAACAAGAAGCTAACCAAAAACCTTAAAATTAAAACTTCGGCAATATGAGTTCCATTGGGGTCTTTGAAATACTCTGATATATTCTTGGGACTCAAGAAAACCATTCACATATGTAGGGCTGTGTGCATGCCCAAGAAAGACCCTCATTTCTAATCATTAGCTGACTCTGTGACTCTCTGCTAATGACGTCTGTGAAGACTAAAAGAGAGTTATGAGCTTCTCTCATTGGAGCACTGAAAACATTCCAACATGCACACAGAGTCGCTCAGCAAAGGCTGGGAGACTTACTAGATCAAGGCATTTTAGGAAAGCTCTAATAATAAGCTGACCATTAAGCTAGCCAAGCAGTGATTTCAGTGGCCAATCATGACAAAGAATACAAAATTTGTGGAATTAGTTCAGTAAAATCACTAAACAGAAAGAACACCAACAAAAATACACAAGATTACAAACTCAAGGCATACACTCAAAAGAAATGGGAACATGTGACCCTAAAAAACTTGTACATGAATATGCATAGCAACATTACTGTTAAGAGCCAAAAAGTGGAAACAACTCAAGTATCCATTAACCGATGGATGGATAAAGGAAATGTAGTATATCTATACAGTGAGAATTTTAAAGAATAATGAAGTACTGATACATGCTACACCATGAATGAACCCTGAAAATACTATGGTGTGTCAAAGTAGCCAGCTCAAAAGGCAACATGCCATAGGATTTATATGAAATTTCCAGAATGAGCAAATCCATAAAGGCAGAAAGTAGGTTACTGGCTTCCAAGGGATAAAAGGAGGGGAAAATAGGTAATAAGTGCTAACAGGTATAGAGTTTCTGTAAAAGAATTAGAAAATAGTAATGACTGTACAACTTTGTGAATATACTAAGGACCACTGATTATACTATTTAAAGGCACAAACTTGTAGTATGTGAATTATATCAATAAAAATGTTTAGAAAATGATAAATAAGGAAATAATCTAACTTTTTATTTCTAATTAATTCATTTAGGCAAAGGATCATAATTCTTTACCATAAGAAAATTGCCAATTAAAAAGTTACACTCTGAGCTTTTGTTTTCAGGAGTCAGTTTCTGAATTAAGATATCAAGATGAGCAGTAACTAGAATGTTTTTAAGGGTTCACCTTAGACAAAATCAGTTCACTTCCCATTGTTGGGTTACTACACAGCCATCAGAAATTAAGTCTTTCTATCACTATTACCTGATACCCAAGTTTGGGACTTACAACTAAATGACTTAAACGAATTATGGAGACACATGGAGGACTAAATTACTTAAATGAGTTATGGAGACACATGAAAATGAAAATCCAGCAGGTCCAACTTCTTTGCAACACAGCAAAAGCAGTTGTAAGAGGGAAATATACAGCAATACAGCCCTACCTCTAGAAGAAAAAGTTCAAATAAACAATCTAACCTTATATCTAAAGGAACTAGAAAAAGAAGAACGAAGTCCAAGGTGAGTTAAAGGAAATAGAGATCAGAACAGAAATAAATGACATAAAGATTTAAAAAAAAAATAGAAAAAAAAATCAGTAAGAGGCACCTAGCTGGACCAGTCAGAAGAGCATGCAACTCAGTTATTAAGTTCAAGCCTCACACAGGGTGTAGAAATTACTTAAATAAAATTTTTTAAAATGTTTAATGTGAAAAAAAATCAATAAAATCAAGAGCTGGTTCTCTGAAAAGATAAACAAAATTGATAAACCTTTAGCCTTAAAATGATCAGGAAAAAAAAAAGTACTCAAAATCAGAAACAAAAGAAGAGAGGTATCAAATAACACCACATAGAAATACAAAGGATTACAAGAAAATATTACAAAAAATTATATGCCAACAAATTAGACAACTTACAAGAAATGTATAAATTCCTAGAAAGATATAATCTTTTAAAACTAAATCAGATAGAAATAGAAAATCTAAACAGACCCAGTTAACAAAGTTGAATCAGTAACCAAAAAATGAAAGTCCAGGATGAGATGGATTCACAGTTGAATTCTACCAAACACTTTAAAAAGAGTTAATACCTATTCTCTTCAAACTATTCCAAAAAATAGAAGAGGAAGGAAAGCTTCCAAGTACATTCTATGAAGCTTGTATTATTCTGATACCAAAACCAGACAGACACCACAAAAACAGAAAACTACTAGCCAATATCTCTCGATGAACAAAGATGGAATACTCCTCACAAAATATTAGCAAACCACATTTGACAACACATTAAAAGGATCATTCACATAATCAAGTGGAATCTATTCTGGGAGATGCAAGGATGGTTCAATATTTGCAAATTAATCAACATAATACACCACAACAAATAATAAAAATCATATGATCTCATAGATACAGAAAAAGCATTAGACAAAATTCAACATCTGTTCATGATAAAAATTCTCAACACAGTAGGTTCAGAGGGAACATATCTCAACATAATAAAAACCATATATGAAAAACCTGCAGCTACATCATAATGGTGAAAAACTGAGAGCTTTCCTCCTAAGATCAGGAACAAGACAAGGATGTCCATTCTCACCACTTTTATTCAACATGGTGCTGTAAATCCTAAATACAGCAATCAGACAAGAAATAAAAGGCATCCATAAGGGTAAAGAAAAAGTTAAACTGTCACTATTTGCAGATGACATGACATTATACATAAAAAATCCTAAAGACTCCACCAAAAAACTACTAGAATAAATAAATTCAGTGAAACTGCAGGATACCTAGAAATCAGTAGCATTTCTATAAACTAATAATGAAGTACTAAAAAGAGAAATTAAGAAAACAATTTCATATACAACTGCATCAGAAATAATAAGATACCTAAGGATAAATTTAACCAAGGAGGTGAAAGACCATGCTTATATTGTTAAAATGCCCATATTACACAAAGCAAACTACAGATTCCATGCAATCCCTATCAAAATGACAAAAGCTTTTTTCAGAGAACTAGAACAAACAATCCTAAAATTTGCATGGAACTATAAAAGATCCCAAATAGCCAAAGCAATCTTGAGAAAGAAAAATAAAACGAAATATCATAATCAAGATTTCAAGATATATTACAAATCTATAGTAATTAAAACAGTATGGTATTGGGGCACCAAGGTGGTTCAGTCCGTTAAGCATCTGCCTTCTACTCAGGCCATGATCCTGAAGTCCTGAGATTAAGCCCCACATCAAGCTCCCTGCTCAAAAAGGGAGTCTGCTTCTCTGCTCTGATCTTCCCCCTGCTCACACTCACACTCACGCTCTCTTGCTCTCTCTCTCTCTAGTAAAGAAAATCTTAAAAAAAAAAAAAAAAAAAAAAAAAAGCATGGTATTGGTACAAAAACTGACACATAAATGGAACAGAACTGAGAGCCCAAAAATAAACCTACCTTTATATGGTCAATTAATCTATGACAAAGGAAACAAGACTATACATTGGGGAAAAGGCAGTCTCTTCAATAAATGGTGCTGGAAAAACTGGACAGCTATATGTAAAAGAATGAAACTTGACCACTTTCTGACATCATACACAAAAATAAACTCAAAATAAATTAAAGACCTAAATGTGAAATCTAAAACCATAAAATTCCCAGAAAAAACACAGGCAGTACTATCTCTGACACCAGCCATAACAACATTTTTCTAAGTATCTCTCCTAAGGCAAGGGCAACAAAAGCAAAAATAAACTATTGGGACTACATCATATCAAAAGCTTTTGCACAGAGAAGGAAACCATTAACAAACCAAAAAAGGCAACCTACTGAATGGGAGAAGATACTTGCAAATTATATATTCAAATAAGGGGTTAGTATCCAAAACATATAAAGAAGTTATACAGTTCAACACCAAAAAACAAAATAAAAAAAAACAATTAAAAAACAGGCAGAGGACCTGAAGAGGCATTTTTCCAAAGACGACATACAGAAAGCCAACAGACACATGAAAAGATGCTCAAGCTCTGTAATCAGGGAAATGCAAATCAAAACCACAATGAGATATCACCTTACACCAGTAAGCATGGCTAAAATAAAAAAGACAAGAAATAATAAGTGTTGACAAGGATGCAGATTAAAAGGAAGCCCTGCACACTGCTGGTGCGAATGTAAATTGGTACAGCCACTGTGAAAAACAGTATGGAACTTTCTCAAAAAAATTGAAATGGAAATACAATATGATCCAATAATATCACTACTGAGTATTTACCTAGAGAAAACAAAAAACATTAATTCAAAAAAATATAAGGACTCCTGTGTTTATTGCAGCATTATTTACAACAGCCAAGATATGGAAGCAAACTAAATGTCTATTAACCAACAAATAGATAAGGAACATGTGGGATACATATACAAGGGAGTATTGCACAACCTTAAGAAAAGATGAGATTGTGCCATTTGCAACAAAATGAATGGACGTAGAGGGCACTATGCTAAGTGAAATAAGTCTGAGAAAATAAATACCATATGATTTCATTCATAGGTGGAATCTAAAAAAGAAATAAACAAAAAGCAGCGTTAGACCTATAAGTAGAGAACCAATGACTGCAGGGAGAGGGGTTTGAGGGGGATAGGCAAAATGGGTGAAGGGGAGAGGGAGACACAAGCTCCAGTTATGGAACAAATAAGTCACGGGAAGCATATCTAATTTTCTTTCTAAGGAAAAGCCATTTAAGTGACTGGGGCTCCCAACTGGCTCAGTCAGTAGAGCACGTGACTTTTGATCTGGGGATTGTGAGTTCAAGCCCCAGGCTGGGTGTAGAACTTACTTATAAGTAAAACAAAACAACACAAAACAAACAACAACAACAACAAAAACCCAGCTGTGAACACAAAAGGTAGCAACAACGACAAAAAAAAACAACTGCAGGGCAGCCCCAGTGGCGCAGCAGTTTAGCGCCCCTTTCAGCCCGGGGCGTGATCCTGGAGACCCGGGATCGAGTCCCGCGTTGGGCTCCCTGCATGGAGACCGCTTCTCCCTCTGCCTGTGTCTCTGCCTCTCTGTGTGTGTGTCTCTGTGAATAAATAAAATTTTTAAAAAATCTTTAAAAAAAAAAAAACTGCAAACACAAAAGGTAACAACAACAAAAAAAAAAAACCTGGGAACACAAAAGGTTTTTTCCTACTAAGTTCATTTCCATAACTGAACTTGGTACTAATTTACAATCACACATTTATTTTACATATGAGGCCTGGAGCGCTTAAGAAAGGCTAGAAGAAAACAGTATACAAATGCAGAAGAATTAGTCCCTTCTCGTAGAAGAGATATGCAGCAATCACATAAAAAACCACATCCATCACTTAAACATTCCAAGAGTCACAGGTCTCTAAACAGCCATTCTGGCTTATGAAGATAAGAGGACAGATTCTGGAAAGGTGGCAAAATGTGTTTGTAAATGAATAACTGATGAAATATTAGGTAAGAACAAAAAAAACTCTAAGCAACATAACATGGTAAGTAAAGAGTAGAAGGCAATGCATTATCTTGGCTTGTGTGTGCTATATAAAGGTCATATTCACAATAACACCAGCCACTGCAAGTTCCAAAGTTTCTCACATAACAAGAATCCTTCACAGTGCTAGCAGTTATTTTTGGATTCAAAATCTTAACAAAACTTTTAATGCTTTATTTCATCAACCATATATAAAATACTTAATACTCACCCCATATTCCATTTGAAATTTATTCAAATCATTTCTTAGCATAGACTACATTCATGGGCCATTTAGCACTGCATGTACTAAGATGTGTGAGACATTCTCTCTACCCTTATGGAGTTAATGTAGGACGGAGAAAGGTGCACTGAGTAATAATAGCTAAATACAAAATAATGAAAAAATAAAACTATGAACAAAACGTGGAAATCACGGGAGTGTAAGGGACTAACATTGCATAAGGGAACCAGAAGTGATTTCACAAAGGAGATGATATGTAAACAGAATTTTAAAGGATGAATGAAAATCTATCAGGTCAAAAAAAGTAGAAATGGCATCAGAGGCAATAATTTAAATTAGAACATGAAGGCATGAAATATATGTTATGTTTGAGGAATGAGGAAAAGCTCAGTGTAGCTAAAGCACTGAGAGACCAGAAGTGTGGGGAGTGCAAGAGTGAGACCTCAGGAGGAGGAAATGGAGCCTCATTCGGAAGGGCCTTAGAGGACTTGCTACCTAAACTAAAAAGTTTGGGAGACAATCTGAAATATTTAAAAGATGAGTGACATGATCAGGTTTGTGTAAAAAGGAAAGCAAAAGTCCTACACAGTAAGTATTACAGAGTCTAACATAAAGCAGGCATTCAGTTAGTGGTATTATTATTAATACTGTAAAATGTACATAACAGTAACAAGAATCATCATCACCTTATATCTTTGATAGTTGCTCGTTTCAGGGGGTCAACTTGCAGCATGTGCATCAAGAGAGTGGCAACAGAACGATTGAGATATTCTGGGATATAAAAAACACCCCCTCGGATCTTCTTAAATAACGTAGGTACATGCTCATCATCAAAAGGGAGGGTGCCACAAAGAAGGGCATACAAAATAACACCGCAGCTCCAGATATCAACTTCAGGACCTGCATACAATCTAAGAAACAAGATGACAACACAAACCTGAAATGCAAGTGCCACTTCTTCTCATCCACATATAACCTGTTTCTATATACACATGGTAGAGAATCGGTGTATACTGATTTGCAAGCCTTTAATAAAGTCCATGGCCACACCCCAACACTCAAGACTTGTTCTCCACAGAGAATTTGTTTCTGCAATTGCTACTCAAGTTTTCCTAGACAAAAGTATTTTATTTGTCACAAATTCACTGAACTTACTAATTGACTAAAAAAATATAAAACTTACAATGGTTGATTTTTTTATGGAAACGTCAAAGTAAATGACTATAAACTTGAAAAAACAATACTATAACGTTTAGACAATCTTTTTACCACAAAACTACAAGAAAGAAAATGCATAAATATAATTTTTATGCCTTAAATGCCTATTTCAAAGAGTATTTCAAACATTACAGTGCCTAACTAGTACTAGAGCAATCTCTTTGAAAGTATTTGTCTTGTATCACATTATCCTGAGTATGACTTTCATTTTAATCACTTGTTAGGTTAGCTCATGGGACTAAGATTAGCTTTGTTCCACATGACCTATGCCTTGAATATTATTCCTTTTTTCTCTCACCTTTCTGCAGTTTTAAAATGCCCCTGGTACCCCACTGACAAACTCAAACTTTGGTCTCAGATAACAAAGTGAATCTCTACAATTCCAATTAAAAGAATATAATCCATTTCAAAAAAAATTGCTGTCTATCATTTATATCATTTGCTTGTACTTGTCCAAAACTCCTATACCTGCTCATTGCAATAATGCCTTTTCTTCATTTTCTCTCAGAAAATTGTTAATTTTCTAAATCAGACACTGGTCACTGAAAAGCTCCTGTTTACCACTGCAATCTTTATAAACATTTTTTAAATATACCGGTAAGTTCCAACCTCTACTTATACAATTAATTACATGAAAAGACAATACTATCTCTGAAAAACCTCATTGTTCAAAAGACAAATCAAAGTAATACTCTATATAGTACTTTATAAAAGAATATGTAAATTATTATTTAAGGACTGTGTCTGGTAAGTAAATGATGACACTAGCTTGAATTTAACAAATGCTTTCTTATTTGTACTTTTCCAAAATGAAAAAAAAATCAAGATTGGTTTCAGTACATTTTTTTTTAATGGAAGAACTCCTTAAATATACATAACAAAATCTAAACCAAATGTTTAAAAAATTGTTTAATATAACTATTCTCTCTTCAACAATGGAAAAATTAAAGGGACAATTTGTTCCTATTGTGTTAACAATCTCATTCTCTGAACAGAATATATTTTAATTAAATGTAATTAGACTGAATAAAAGATTATAAACAGCTTACTCTGCATGAATCTATTATTACCTGCCCGAGATGACTTCTGGTGCTGCATAATTTGGAGATCCACAACTAGTTCTCAGAAATTCACCATCTGACATCATATTAGACAAACCTGAAAATGAGAGCAATATTTACTTTGTGCTAGATGTTTTAAAAAGTAGATATAGATAAATGCATGGAAAAAAAAGTCAATTCCTCAAAGTTCTAAATATATTATTTTATAATTATTTTTAAAGAGCAGTAGAAAGCACCTGAGACTAGAAAAAGACCATTTCAGAGTGCTTACATCCTGACCTGACAAAAAAAGATATAACACATCATGTATTATTGGAATTAAATCTCTTTTCTAAATAAAAATGTTAATTCACTTGGGGCCCATGGGTGTCGGTTGAGCATCCAACTCTTGGTTTCAGTGTAGGTCATGATCTTGGGGTTGTGGGACTGAGTCCCATGTTGGGCTCCATGTGGAGTCTGCTTGGGATTCTCTCTCTCTCTCCTTCTCCCTCTGCCCTTCCCCTCCCTTATGCTCTAAAATAATCTTTTTTTTAAAATGTTGATTCACTTGATATATATGAGGTTATTCTAAATTATATGAAGTTTTCCAAACATAAAAGCATCAATATATTATTTACCCATTCCTACAGCTGAAAGAATGAAGTAGAGACCATTACTTTTTATCCTATGCTTTCAAACCCTTTAAAAAAAAAAAATCCCTCGGATGCCTGGGTGGCTCAGGGGTTGAGCACCTGCCTTTGGCCCAGGGCATGATCCTGGAGTCCCAGGATCAAGTCCCACATCGGGCTCCCTGCATGGAGCCTGCTTCTCTCTTTCCCTATGTCTCTGCCCCCGCCCCCCTCTCCTGCCTATGCCTCTCTCTCTCTCATGAGTAAATGAATAAAATCTTTTTAAAAAATCTCTAAGTAGAAATCAGAAAGGCTCCAGTTTATAAAGATTTCCAAAAGTGGGATGCCAGGGTGGCTCAGTGGTTAAGCGTCTGCCTTTGGCTCAGGTGGATCCTGGAGACCCGGGATCGAGTCCCACATCAGGCTCCCCACATGGAGCCTGCTTCTCCCCCTGCCTGTGTCTCTGCCTCTATCTGTGTGTCTCTCATGAATAAATAAAATCTTAAAAAAATAAAAATAAAAATAAAAGATTTCCAAAAGTTTTTAATTTGGAAAGCTTTAATTCAACATAGAAAAAATAATCTGCAGAACCAAAATTCTAGTTAAACTACCATACTAGGGAGTTTTGCGATTTAGAGAAGGAAGAGAAATATAGTTTTTAAAGTCAAGGTATAGACAAAAACTTTAAATAAGCAATGCTGAACTCTGGCACCTTTCCATGGCTCTTTCTTTTTTTTTTTTTTAAGATTTATTCATTTATTCATAGAGACACAGCTAGAGAGAGAGGCAGAGACACAGGCAGAGGGAGAAGCAGGCTCCATGCAGGGAGCCCAACGTGGGACTTGATCCCAGGTCTCCAGGATCACGCCCTGGGCTGCAGGTGGCGCTAAACCGCTGCGCCACCGGGGCTGCCCTATGGCTCTTTCTATAATCTCTCACTTCCTAATCCTTCTGCCAAACATCCTACTATGGTACTCTTTCCAGGGATATTTACTCTAGAAAGTGTTAGGTGCATTAAATTTACATTTTGTTTTTTGTTTGTTTTACTCCTGACAAAAACTCCTATTCTTTTTAGCAAACGATTAGATTTTACCCTGAAATCCACCAACACTCACCCTTGACCAAGTCAAAAAGACTGTACGTCTTCAAAACTGCATGCAAATTTTCATGTACCTCTCTTTAAAGCATTCATCAAGGAAAGTGCCCATATTTTCATTAGATTTTTAAAGGAGTTTGTAATCTCCACAAAAAAAAAAAAAAAAAAAAAAAAAAAAGTTAAGTTTTCCTTCAGGAGGAAATGCAGAGTAAATAGATTTACCTAGAATCTGGCCCGCTAAACTTCTCTAGAGGAATGTGCATTTTAAACAATGTGTTTAAATGAATAGAACAAGAACAAGCTAACATGGAGACTGTGCCACTAATCCCTTTTCATGGTACAGGATTTATAAAGTTGAAACTGCAAGTTCATGGTTCTTTAACAGTTGCTACTGACCCACTTGAAAAGGCAACTCGTACATTTCTGAACAATCATGGAGTTACATACCAAAATCAGCTATCTTGGCATTCATGTGAGCATCCAACAACACATTCTCTGGTTTCAGGTCTCGATGAACCACCATATGCCTATGACAGTAATCCACAGCTGACAGAATCTGCTGAAAGAGTCGCCTTGCTTCCACCTCTTCAACCTAGCACATATAAAAGAAGCTACACTAAGAATATTTGGGACATAGAGCAAGAGTTTTAGTTTCACAACAGCCCAAATGTAACTGAGCAAGCTAATTAGAATTAGGTTAGAATCCTCAACAAATCAGATAAACAAACCAAAAACTTGCATTAGAGCTCAACATGTCAATCAACAAGGCTCTTCTTTGCTGCTAATCAATTAGATTTAATTTTCAATTAATATTACTCACTGTGCACAATGTTTTAAGCAATCAACAAGTAAAACATAATGTAAGAACTTATGTGAAAGTGCTACAAAATGGAAATCACTGAAGCTTCAACATAATGTTATGGAACAGATTTTTCACTCTGAAAATCACTGACATCATGTTGGCAATTAAGTGGGACACGTTCCCTAAAATCAGTATTTTGAAAGGTGTATTTTTTTTTTTTTTTAGGTGTTATTTACTTGAAGGCAGCCCAGGTGGCTCAGCAGTTTAGCACCACCTTTGGCCCAGGGTGTGATCCTGGAGACCAGGGATCGAGTCCCGCATCGGGCTCCCTGCATGGGGCCTGCTCTCCCTTTGCCTGTGTCTCTGCCTCTTTCTCTCTGTGTGTCTCTCATGAAAAAATAAATAAAATCTTAAAAAAAAAAAAAAAAAGATTTTATTTACTTGAGAGACAGAGCAAGAAAGCAGGAGCAAAGGGAGTAGCAGAGGGAGAAGGAGAAACAGTCTCCCAACTGAGCAACAAACCTGATGCAGGGCTCCATGCTGGGACCCCAGGATTATTACCTGAGCTAAAAGCAGATGCTTAACTGAATGAGCCATGGAGGTACCCCAAAATGTGTATTTCTTTTTAAGGTTTTATTTTTAAGCAATCTCTACAACACTTAAAGCGGGGCTCAAACTTATAACCCCAAGATCAAGGGTCACATGCTTCACAACTGAACCTAACAGATACCCCTCAAAAGGTATATTTTTAAAGAAAGAAACTATGTCTAATATTCTGTATCTTTAGTTGGGCTTCATTACAGAAACAACTCTGACTTCGAAGATAACTTTGTGGTTTGCTATTTCCTACTATCCTTTTGTTTTGTTTTTAGCTTAGGGTCTTACTGTGTGTACTAGACAGCAAGTTACTCACCCGTCCATGTTTACAGATGTAGTCAAATAATTCACCACCAGACACATATTCCATAACCATAAAAAAATCTGTTGGAGTGCTGATCACCTGGTATCTTTTTTGTAAATGAAAAAGATTTAAAAAGTTAGTTTAAAAAAAATCAAGCTAGTATATTATGGCTACAATTTTATATTCCAACATTTTACAGTATTTTAAGATGGCAACAAATTATGTTATCAAAACAATCACAGAGCTATAAAGATAGCTTTACAAAATTCTCTGCTTTCTGAGGCTTATGGACTTTTCAGATTCTCCCTTTCATGTCGACAAATTCTTTGAAATTCTTCATTCTTCAAGAACTAAGGATTCATTTCTCCATTTAAACAATTTTTTTACACTCTATGGAAATCAGGTATCATATTTAAATACAAGTTAAAAATATTGTTAATGTTAAATGATACCACAAGAGATATAATCAGCAAAATGCAGAAAGTGGACAAATGACATTTTCTTCACAAATATAATGTGAGAAAAGGAAAGGTGAACTATAGATTAATAGTAAATCAAGAGACATACTGATCTATTATAATGTAGAGATTTGCTCTGAATTTTTTAAAAGATTTATTTATTATACAGAGAGAGAGAGGGAGAGTGCATGTGCTCTGGAAGGAGAGGCAGAGGGAGAGGGGACAAGAAAATCTCAAGCAGATTCCATGCTAAGCAAGAGCCCAACAGGGGGCTTGCTCTCATGACCTAGAGATCATGATCTGAGGGAAAACCAAGAGTTGGACGCTTAATCAACTGAGCCATCCAGGTGCCCCAAGACTTATTTTGATTCTGACTCCAACAAACCAACTTTAGAAACCATTTACAGGGCAGCCCGGGGGGCTCAGTGGTTTAGCACCACCTTCAACCCAGGGCCTGATCCTGGAGACCAGGGATTGAGTCCCATGTCAGGCTCCCTGCATGGAGCCTGCTTCTCTCTCTGCCTGTGTCTCTGCCTCTCTTTCTTTCTCTCTCTCTGTCTCTCTCTCTCTCTCTCTCCCTCATGATTAAATAAAATCTTTTAAAAAAATTATTAAAGTCTAAATACTGACTGGATAGTTGACAATATTATTAATTACTTTAAATTTTTTAGGGGTGATAATGAAATGTGCTTGTGTTCTAAAATTTAAAAAGAGTCTATATACTATTTAGGGGGACATCTGGGTGGCTCAGTTAAGCGTCTGCCTTCAGCTCAGGTCATGATCTCAGAGACCTGGGATCAGATCCCCTTCATGCTCCCAGCTCCCCCTGGGATCAGATCCCCATCATGCTCCCAGCTCCCCATCATGCTCCCAGCTCAGTGAAGAGCCCGCTTCATCCTCTCCTCCTCACTATTTCTGTTGCTGTTTCTCATAAATAAATAAATAAATAAATAAATAAATAAATAAATAAATAAATAAATAAATAAAATCTTTAAAAAAATAGTTTAAAAAAAAACATAAAATTTGGGACAGGAGAAGTGGGAAGAAGCAGATAAACAATACACTAGCAACTGCTGAAGCCAAACAACAGATTCATGAGGCCTCATCACTTGACTTTCATATACATTAAAAACATTACATAACGGGGCATCTGGGTGGCACAGTTAGGTGACGTGACCAATACCCGGTTTCAGCCCAGGTCATAATTTCAGGGTCCTGAGATGGAGTCCCACATCAGGTTCCATGCTCAGTGTGGAGTCTGCTTAAGACTATACTCTCTCTCCTTCTGCCCGCCCCCTTGTGCTCTCTCTCATTCTCTCTCTCAAATAAATAAATCTTAAAAAAAGAAAATTCCATCGTAAAAAATTAAGCAGATGGATAGATGAATGTGTGTTTATTTTTTTAATCTACCTCTAGGCACTCAAAGCTGAGGCCATTAAAAAATAAGAATCTTAGTTCTATTTGAAAAAGAAATAGAAAAAAAGAAAAATTTTTTCTTAAAAGACAGCTTCACCCCACATACCCAATTTGACCAAAGTTCTGAAAACAAGTTAAATACAATTATTAATGTTTTAACTGGAGGTTACATTTAACACACATAAATGAACAAGTGACTTCTCAAAATAGTTTGTTTATAAAGAATTATCTATAATCTGGTTGATTGTAAGCAATATCTAACTTACACTGAGTCACTACTTAAGGACACGAAGTATAGCTGTGCAGTTTTTACATGGCTTACAGACACGCAGTGAAGGCACAGGGGAGCTGAAAAGCGGCACAGATGCCACCTGTTAGAAAGCATCATAAGCAGGAGGCCCTTCTGGTTAATCAGTCTACCCAGAAGAGGTACCTTTTATTAATGTGCAAAAAAGCAAGTATGTGCTACATGGTGGTTCTGGTTATTATTAAAGAGAAAAGAAAAAATGGCCAGGTTGTTGGTGATATAACTACATACTATACATTTTAAAAAAAGATACATCATGCATATATACTTGAAAAAAGTAAAATATTAAAGCTATAGTATGAAAATGATTATAGAGTTCCAGGAGATAGATTTCTAATAGCAATCTTTAGTCTTTGGGGTGAAAAATGACAAGGTAACCCACGTTATATAAAATAAACTAATATAACTGAGGAATAACGTTGAAATTACTTCAGATGAACTATAAAAAGGGAATTTCACCTGAGAACTCCAGAAGAAATGATTCTATAAAAGCAATCTTACCAGGCACTAAACTCTAATAGAAAAAATGAATAGTACAAAGCTGGAGCACCTATTGCCTCAATGTAGGCTAATCTGATTTGTTAACAGAATTCTCCATTACTTTTCTGCTGTGTTACATCTTTGGGGCATAGGAGAAAAAGTGATGAAATTCTAATAAATTTAGCTGCTGATTCTTCCAAGTATATCACAGGTCTTAAGTGGATATTGTTAGATTGAACTATTTCATGAAACCTCTAACTCCACAGTGGCCACTGTCCACATCAAAGGCCAATCTAGAGCAATGAAAACCACAACCACTGAGCACTTACAGTGTGCTATTTATTTACTCTTTGTTGAAAACCTAATGTACTGCACTTGGTAAGATCAACAGCTCCTGTTTCTACTGGTGGAGCCTACAGTCTATTAAGGAAAACACACATTAGACAAGTATTCTTTTCAAAGCATGAGTCTGTTTCTTTAGTAGTCTCCTAATTGAAAATCTTCAGGGGTTTCCCACTGCTCTTAGGTCCTGAGTGAATCAGGCCCCCACCTGTGTCTATTGTCTCCTCTTTGACTCTCACCATTGCAGTGCACTATTTCTTTCTTTCATTCATTCATTCGTTGTGCTGCACTTCCATCTGCCACAGCATCTTTGTATAAGCAGTTTCTGCTAATCTGAATCTCATACCTGACCTGTACTCAGCCCTTTAGCTCCTAGTCATCCTTTCTAGCTCCCCATAAAGGTCACTCCCTAAGTCCAGGTCAGTCCTTTTTGCTTGTCCCTTAGCTTCAGAGCATGTGCCTCAGTTTGTGATTATACAATGATTGAGTGTACACCTAACAGAGTATCTGTAACAAAGTAGGCATCTGATATAAATTACCGCTCTTAAATAATGTGAACAGGGGATCCCTGGGTGGCTCAGCAGTTTAGCGCCTGTCTTCAGTCCAGGGCATGATCCTGGAGTCCCGGGATCGAGTCCCATGTCAGGCTCCCTGCATGGAGCCTGCTTCTTCCTCTGCCTGTGTCTCTGCCTCTCTGTCTCTCATGAATAAATAAATTAAATCTTTAAAAAAAATAATAATGTGAACAGCTTGGAGCCAAAACATAATAATTTGAAACAGAAATTATGGCAGTATTACAACAAAAATTCAAAGACTAAAATTTCAATTAAACCGAATGAGGCTAAGAAAAAGTAAACACGATTTTTAAAAGAAAAAAATCCTTAAGAAAGAGCTTTATATTGGGACTTAGGGAAAAAAGCCAATTCCAGGATTATGTTCTTAAGTCTAGCCAAGAAAGCCAAATAATAATAATAATCACATTGAAGCATTATAAGAAATTCAATCATGGAATTCATACATTTCTTAATACAACAGAAAAGTAATGTGCTTTAGGAAAACTTTTCAGAAAAAAGTATTCCTAATTAAGCAAAAAAAAAAAAAAAAAAAAAAAAAAGTTAATATCCACAAAAACTTCAAGCATTCTCCAGCTAAGTTATATGCATCTTTAGGCAATATTCATTTAAATAGCATATAGAACTCAGGAAAAAATCTTTCCAAAGTTAGACAAAAATTAATATTCATGAGTATAATTTTTTGATGCTTATATCTATAGAGATTTTTAATCCTATCTATATAGCTACATATACAGAATAATATTTTTATTTAGAAATCCATTATCAAAGAAATGTAGTCATTATCCTTGGTTCATGGCACCTGTCCTTACTGGTCTTTGAGTGGCTTATTTTTATTTAATTACTATTTTTAACACTATAATAAGCACCTACAAACCCATCACCCAAAAAGCCTAGGACTTCAGTAATACCTTCCCATCTAACTCCAGAGTCATCTTCCACTTCCCACCATTTCCCCTCAGCCAAATTAGCAATCATTCTGAATCCTACTCCTGCATCTCCTGCTTTCTCTTTTATACATATATGTGTGCATCCCACTGTCTTCATGGCTAAAACTTCATATTCTTATGCATATTTTTATTTTAATTGCTCTTAGCTTTAGAAAAAGATATCAGCAGTCTTTTAAAAAAAGGGGTGGGAGCACCTGGGTGGCTCAGTGGTTGAGCCTCTGCCTTTGGCTCAGGGCATGATCCCAGGGTACTGGAATTGAGTCCTGCATCAGGCTCCCAGTAGGGAGCCTGCTTCTCCCTCTGCCTGTGTCTCTGCCTCTCTCTCTCTCTGAGTCTCTCATGAATATATAAATAAAAATCTTTTCTTAAAAGGGGGGTATCTGGTGGGGTGCCTGGGTGGCTCAGTTAGTTAAGCATCTGACTGGATTTCAGCTCAGGTTATGATCTCAGGGTCCTGGGATAGAGTCCATGTTGGGCTCACCCCTTCCATCAAGGAATCTGCTTAAGGATTCTTTCTCTCCCTCTCCTCTGTGCCTCCTCCTACATGCACACCCTCTCTCTTTCTCCAAAATAAATAAACC